TCTGTGGAAAAACTCGATAAAGGGGCCCCAGTTCGTTAGCTAAGCTGGTGAATATAACTATAATAACCATATTAAATTATATGTGTGCGTATATATATATATATATGTAGAGATTTTATACATATAGTTATATTTGGATGGGGTTATAAACCAACTTATAACTGGGGGGACACCTTAGAACCAAATTGACTTTAAGCAGCAAAGATTTATAGTAGCCCCATCCCCGAAAAATGTACAAATAGTTCACCACTACTTTAGGAGGATTTCACCTTATCTTTTTTGGGTTACTATATGGTTTTTACTTATGTATATAGCACCTCCAAAAAGATAGAAAAGTGTTTTCGGATGGTAGTTCGATTATATGTATTTATTTTATTTTATTCCACGTTTGCCACTTTTTTTCTATTTGTTGGCTACTATATCGTACTCCCGGAGTAAATAGCATATGGAAATCATGTAAATATGAAAACAAAACTCACGTTCGATGTACCAGTACTTCAGCAAAATTTAATATATGAGCCATGTTCTAAATGTTACAGTATATTTACCAGTGCTTAACATGAACACAAGGGTTAGAACGTGGCAAAATTATGGGAATTCTACTGGGATTCCAGTGTCAACATGGAGATCTATAGGACCCATCAATCGGGATATGGCGCTACCCAAAACTTAAGGATATCTCCAACATTTATTGCCAATCACAAATCACAAAACAATGTGATATTACAAAACAATGTGATATTTCATGATATTCCATGATATTCCATGATATCCTATCCATTTATTTCCCAGAATCAGAACATGTTCCAAATTATACTAATCCCAGTTCACCAATCCCAGTTCACTCAGTATAATCTTTGTTATCCCATTATAATCCCAGTTCATTCCATTTACTGTATTACCATATGTTGTATTATATATATATGTGTATATCATATCAATGGCCATTTCATGTATCTAAATTGGAGCTACCTACCATATAATATAGAGGGCCCTATGTAATGGCTATGTAGTATATATATATATATGAATATATATATATGTATATATATGTATATATATATATGTATATATGTATATATATATATATACATATGTATATAATTACATGTATATATATATATATATATCATTATATATTCCCCAAATATGGTTTTGTGTGGTACAGATTGGTACAGTACCTCCATTGGTACGGATTCTGAAAATTCTATGGACAAATGGGATACAGATGGCTTTGAAACTTCGTTTGATCATCACCAACATCCCAGGTGGTTTCAACCCTTCTGAAAAACATGAAAGTGAGTTGGGATGATTATTCCCAATAGATGGAAAAATAAAAAATGTTCCAAACCACCGACCAGATTAGTTGAAGTTCAAGGAACATCGTGGCCAGTTTGTGCAGCATCTGAATCTGCGCGGCGGATAGCGACGGGTAATATTTACGGTGGAATGATGGGTAAATGAAAAGTAAATGTCAGGGATTCTAATACCTCCACTTATAGATTACCATGGGTAAATGATCAGCAAAATAGCCAAGTAAATAGCATTCTATTACCATTGGTATGATCTAAACTCTAATACCATTTATAGCCGGGAAAATGATCAGCTTAAAACCATTGGATGTTCATTGGATTTTGAGGTTTTCCATGGGTTTTCCCTCAAGTTTTCAGACATTTTTCAAACAATGTTTCAATGGATCAACTCGTTTTTGGCCGTGGATCGGATCCCACTTCGAAAGCCTGAATGTTGGCTTAAATGTTGTGCATTGTTGCTGCGTGTATATATATATATATACATAACATACACATACATATATATATATACATAACATAGATATATATATATATATATATATACACCGTATGTATACATATACAATATGTATACATATTCATATTCAAGTTGGCTAATGTTGGAGAGGGTTAGATATCCACTTCCCCTTTTCGACAGATTTCGGGATTTCCGGTCAGTTTCAGGCAGCAGGGCCACATCCAGTTTCCCAGGTCCGTGACACCCCCAATAGATGGTCAGCATGTTAGTTTAACCATGTTAGGTTAGATGTAGGTATGTTCATCTTCAGCAAGTTAGGATTTAACATGATTTCAATCCTTAGTTCCTACAACTTTTTCGTATTTCGGCCAAGATATCGCTCAGATGAATGCCCAGTTTCTTGGATCCAGTCGACTAGAATTTTTGGTTAAACCCAAAAATCAAGCCTGATGTGCTGCTTGTGGTACCCATGGTAACGATTTCCATAGGGCTTGCTGGCTTGCTGTCAAGCATCTTTGATCGCTGGTTTGCTGAAAGGAAATGGTGCAAAATCCCATGTCGGGTGAGTCAGAAGACCCGAACATTGCCTCCAAGATTCATGGTATTTTATAGCTTTTCTTGACCCAAGAAACCATCTATAAATGGGCCCTGTTCCATAGCTATGTTAAATAACCAGAGGGTATATATATATATAATGATAGGGATAAATCATCTGGTTGGTGGTTTTAACCATCTTGAAAAATATGAGTTCGTCGATGGGAAGGATTGCATATATTATGGGAAAACAATCCATTCATGTTCCAAAACCAATATATTATGGGACATTTCCATGGACATTTCACATGATTCAAGCAACAAAGGCAGCTAGGCTGTTGGTTAAAAATCGCTCTTTCTTGGCCTCAAAGATTGCTGAAAAACACATACCAACCCTTTGTGCTTTTTAAACTAATCATCCCATGTTTAAAAAGGTTGCTTTCATCTCCTTTGTTCATGGCTTATATATAAACAAAAGATAATGTCACCCAAAAGATGAACAATTTTCATGGCTTATGTTATATATATATACTGTAACCATATTGTTTGGTATCACCATAGATAACCCTATATATATATAACCACATATCATAGCCATTTTTGATGAAACCAGCTTGATCTCCCCATGATTGGTGATGTCATCTCAACCATTCAATATCCTATTCATTGGTTATATAACCATATTGCTGGGTTATATTACTGCTTTATACTACACAATATTGCTGGGTTATATAACATTATATATAACCAGATATAACTTAACCATATTTTGGGTTAATATCCTATATAACCATTCAATGGGTTGGACCATTTAATGGGTTGGAACTTCCCCCAGTTTTGATAACCACCCCCCGAAGAGGAACCGTTGGGCCTCACCCTGCTTGTTTTTGTCCGAACGAAGCTGTTCGACCTCAGGGCGATTGTGGATTTCAACGGAGGGATGGGACCAGCAACTCATGGCTTTGAATGGAGGTTTTTTTGGCTGGGAAAACCATAGGAAAACCATGGGAAAATAGTGATTAGTAATGGTTAATAGTGGTTAATGATGGTTAATCATTGGTTAATCATTGGTTAAAACATTGGCTGGTTGGTGGTATACCTACCCCTCTGAAAAATGATGGAGTGAAAGTCAGTTGGGATGATGACATTCCCATATGAAATGGAAAATAAAAATGTTTGAAACCGCCACCAAGCAGGTATTATTTTTGGGGGACCTTAGTGGGTTTTAATGGGATTTAATAGGTTTTAAATGGGTGTTCAAAATAGGTTTTAATGGGATGATCGTTTGTTTTTTGAGGGATTTCAAGATGTTCCATGGCTTTGGGTGGGGATATAACTAGATTAACTAGCAATGAAGATAGGATGATTGGGTATGTTCCATGGTATACCCTCTGGTAAACTAACATAACTATGGAAAATAACCATTTTCAATGGGTAAATCCACTATAAATTACCATTTTAAATAGCTATGTTAAATTACCAGAGGGTATGTTCCATGGTATAACGTCCACCATGTTTTCTGGGTTTTTCTTAGTGACCCAACAGATCCAATAGATCCAACAGATCCAACGATACGCCCCTGAAATGCCGACCGAACTTCGTTGGGAAAATCAATGGATTGGTTTGTTGGGGAAAATTTTAACCGGAAAGCCCCATGATCTTCATGGGAAAATAACGATGGTTTCCGATTTTGAGATTTTCCCAAAACCAATCCATTGATGAATTGACATGGCCCTTGAACATTGGCGTTTAAGAAACACCTCTGTGAAACATCAACAAACGGTGAGATGATTCTGAGTCATCTATGTTATCCCCATTCAGGAGATGACATTGCCAGAAACTATCCATGGTAGTGCCAATCAGCCAGATACCCTGCAAAAAATAAGAAATTCTTTGCTGGTGAACGTAGATATTCCCATTGATACCAAAAGACTAAAGGATTAGTTTGTACCCATCTAAGATTGACCTAGTTACAGACAAATTCACATATCAATATCTCGGAAAATTCCGACCCAGCAATTGAGTTTCTTAAGGGTCTTTTTCTGATCGGATAACTGCAGAAAATATGGATCCTTCGAGGATTTGATCAACTACCCTAGCGGCGTTTTCAAGTGGAATGTGCGTCGGTAGTACGGTAAAAGCAATGTGATAAAATGGCTATGATTTATACGTTCTGGTTCAACAAAATAAAATGGAGATGGTTTATGAAGTTTATGGCATTGGGTATACCCTGTTGTTCAATTCTGATCGCGGTTCGAGAAAACAGCACACACACACACACCAAGAAAGTAAACAGCAATGATACTGACCAATAAAGTTAGGATTTCAAAAAAAAAAACACCCTGGATTTTTCCATATGGGGTAGGTCAAGATTCAACTGGCGATGGTCGATGAAAAAATTTGGTCAAGATCAGCCAGAGTACCATCTGATCAACTGCCCATTCGGGTTGTTGTTCGCAATGTAATTTGTGGTTTAAACAAACGAATGTACACATGATCATTCCCAAGTAACAAATGTGATCAGGTATTACTTGGTAATTACTTGGTTTATGTGCCATAAAAAAAAAGTAATAAATTTGGTTATTTAACAGTTTGCCATGGAAAATCACCATGAAAACCACTATTAACCACTATTAACCACTATTAACCACTATAAAATGATGATCCCCAAGTCATAAAAAAACTTGGTGATTTTGGGAGGTTCCTTCTTCCGCCGCCGTTTTTCTGCCTTTTTCGTTTCGTTCTTTTCACGTCGGACGCTAGCTGCGCTCGCTGAGGATCAAAATCGCGACGTTCCGTGCGTGCTATCGCGATCAGAGCCTGAACGGAGCGGCAGCTCGCGGCGGTTGATTCAATGGATTGGTAAATCCAAAAAACCATGGGAAAATGGAGGTTTTAATGGGAAAACCATAGGAAAACCATAGGAAAATGGAGGTTTACCCTCTGGTAAACATACAAAAAGCTATTGAAAATGGCCATAGAAATAGTGAGCTTTCCCATTAAACATGGTGATTTTGCATTACCCTCTGGTAATTTAAGAGTTTGCTATTGAACATGGCCATTATTAATAGTGAGTTTTCCCATTTATTGATGGTGATGTTCAATAGCTTTTTGTATAGTTTAGAGGGTACTAGCCCACTAATTCCCATTATCCCATTGATGTATCATTTTCACCCCATTCTCAATGGATTGGTTTTGTTGGGAAAATCTACCCCATATGCTCCATGGTGCTGGTATATTTCACAGAGATGTTGATGTTTCACAGAGGTGTTTCTTAAACGCCAATGTTCAAGGGCCATGTCTAAATCAATGGATTGGTTTGGGAAAATCTTAACCGGAAACCATCGATTTTCCCATGAAGATCATGGGGCATTCCGGTTAAATGTGTCCCTTTATCCAATCCATTGATTGATGGTTTTACTTCGATGTGCAAGTTGGTACCCGAAATGGTAAACATACAAAAAACGAGGGAAAATCACCATTGTTTATGGCTAAGTCAACTATTTCTATGGCTATTTTCAATAGCTATTTTGACATAACCAGAGGGTACATGGTATATGCAAAAGAAAATCATGGGGTACATTAGCAATGGAACATGGTGATATAATGGAACAAATGGATTTATCAATGCACTTGGAACATGGAACAATGGATTTATCTATATGAATCAATGGAACATGGTGATATAAACAAACAATGTGGATATTGATGGGGATATAACCAAGTTGATATTATCATATTTGGGGATTTCTGTACCATCTTTTCAGACAAACCATATATATATACATATATATATATGTATTATATATATATATATATATGGTGTTATATAATATCTATATAATATCTGTGCTTTTTTTTCAGTCAATTTCACTGCCATTCATTGCCATGAGGTCCGCAGTGTGGTCATGAAGAGGTCATCCAGTTTGAGCTTGAAACAGGGATGATTCGTTTTTTTTTATTATTACCAGCTAGTTATATGACCAAATGGGAGCAATCATTGGATGGTATACCGAACTAAATGAACATGATTACTAATCATATAAACAGTTCCCAAACCTTTCGCCAGCTTTCATTCCCAGGATCATGAAATGTACCAGCTAGTACAATCCAATATAGTCAACCAAATATGTCATGATTGCCATATCAGATAAACAGGGCTATTTCGAAATAGTTACACCCCAGTTTCAACGTTACACCCCAGTTCTTCACCAATTGGGTACCCTCTTTCGTAAACTGTTACATAACTATGGAAAGATCCATCATTTTGTAGCTGGGAAAACTCACTATATTAATAATGGCTCATTGCCTTACACTCTGAATATATCATAGTAACTGTGGAAAATCATCATGTTTAATGGGAAAACGAAAACTATTAGTAATGGCCATGTTCCAGTTCGCTATATATGTATGGCTATACCAGGCCGGGTACCTTTTTGTTTTTTGCCCCATAAGTCCCGGTGCGGCTTCAACCATCCCCCAGTCATCACCATTTTTGTAGGTGCTTTGGTTACCATTCCAAAAAAAAGGTAGTTTAATACCAACTAAATTTATGGTGATGACTGGGGGATGGTGCACATTGTTGTTTTAAGCACATTATTTGACAATTGTCGTGGTTAGTTTGTGTTGGTTGAACAATGGTTAAACATTCAAGAAACGGGTAAAAAGCACACACATTTATCGCTGCTTAAATCCAATCTGCTGCTTCCATATCTGCACCCGAGCAGTGAAGTCCATATGTCATTCCATTACCGGAAGATTAGTTTTAGACATATCTATGAACAATTGCCCATTTATGGATGAGGTGTTAAATAAAAAAGTGACAAATAGTAATAAAGATGCTTGACAATGATTGATGGGAATGGTTTTTGGGAATGCAATAACCGGGTAACAACCAAGCAATTTTCTGTCCATTTGAATATCATGGGGGCAACGACCAACGATTAATTTCTTTGTCATTCCCCAAATCATCATCAACCAACAGGGGTGTCTTGCACGCAGCCGTTGAATCCAAAAAAACATTGTCCCATTATACTGTATCCCCATTGCATCCCCATTATATGCAACTGTATCCATGGTTTTGGCCTCATTATATATATCCAAGCTTTTTGTTTTGTCATGGGTAAAATAAAGGTGGCGAGTTCCCCCCCCCCGAACTAATCATCAACCAACCACAATTTAACCATTGTATCCCCAAATGTTTGACGGTTCAAAACCATAAGTCCTATAACTTAGATTTGCAAAGGGCCCCTCAAAATATTTCGCATGTCCCCTATGGATTCCCCAGGCATGGTGTATTTCCCATTGGGAAGGTAAATCCAAAAAAAATATTGCATTACTAGCCCTCTAATTCCCGTATCATTTTCACCCCATTCTCAATGGATTGGTTTAAGGGAAAATCTACAGGAAACCATAGATTTTCCCATTAATTATGGGGCTTTCCTGTAATTTGTCCCTTAAACCAATCTATTGACATTCATATCCCACGGAAATATTCCATGAATGTCCCAATTATTCCATGAATGTCCCATGTTCGTATCTGATCAAAATCCTTTCGAATCATCCCATTTCCATGCCCTATCTTTCCCTATATTTCCCTATCACCATGGTGAAAAACACCCTATCATCACTGAATCATCACTGAATCATCCCTGAATCAGCCCAGAATCCAGCACAGAATCCGCGACCCAACGTCTCCACGTCTCCACGTCTCCGCACCTGCTTTTCACCATGGTAAGTCCCAAGCGTCCATCATCCACGGAGCTCACCCAAACAGTGACCTGGCGCTGGTTTTCACGTGGGCTGATGTGTTAGATTAAGATCATGGCTTATCATTGCTTGGAATGTGGTTTATAGCTGGGAAAACCATAGGAAAAGCCTAGGAAAATATGGAGGTGGAGGCCCTCCGGTAAACTGGTGCAGAACTATGGAAAGATCCACCATTTTGAATGGGAAAACTCACTATAAACCACGGTTCCCACATGCGAACCATGGTGCTGGAATATGAATCCCAACATTTGCCCGAACACAATCACCCAGTTTTGTAGGTAAATATACCAGCACCATGGAGCATATGGGATTGGTTGGAATGTGGTTTTAATGGCTTTAACCTTTGGGGGATCAAACCACATATGTCACATAAACCCGTAAGGTCGTCCCATCATACGTTAGATTAAATGCTTGGAATGTGGTTTTTTCAATGCTTTCGTATCCCGGTGAATGATTCCAACAATGCGGTCAATCATGGTTCACTTAGGAGTCACCACATGATGTTCGATGTTTTGCCATCCGCCCATGAACTTGGGTCATTCCAACCCCCATCCACCATTGTCCAACCATGGTTTCTGGGAGATGAGAAAAACTGGATGTCCAACATCGAAAAGATAATCCCTACTAAGGTGGAAAAAAAAATGGACCATGTTCGAAATTGGAATTGTTAAGTTAGTGGACATTCGTGCCAGTCGGTGAGTTTTTTTTGGCACGTTCTTGTTGGTAGATATGTGATATGCCTATATAGTATTCATGGGGGTTACTCAAATGAACTAAATGGATCTAACTGGGGGTCTTTAGACCAAATTGTACCAACTTGTACCTAGGGAGGGGGCCCTTCCTGTATGTACAAAACAAATACCTAACCATGGATGTAACTGGGAAGTTGCTTGATTCCCAAGCTTCATTACCAGATGGTAGACGCTATGCGACCTTACAGCAGGGCACCTCGTTGCATCCTCTGTGATGATCTTAGATGGCCATGCTGGCCAGGAACCGAGAACTTGCTTGGAGGTACCGATTCCAGATTCCATATATGTTTGGCCTATGTTTGCGGGAATATCCCCACAAAATATGGCCTTATATGGTACAATACCTCCAATTTAGGATCCTGGAATTCCCAAAAGCAGTACCAAAATGTGCCAAAATCCTTCCTGCATGGGAAGAAAACATCCAACAAATGCCCCATTGCCTTGGCAATCCAACAAAAAATGGCTGGAAAACCACTTGCCTCGTGCCAATCTACCGCAGCTAGGCAGCCAAGTGTTACTAAACCTTGCTACTTACCAGGAATCGCGTTTTTCCCATGGCCCAATTAATGGTGAACCGAAGGATATATCCATGATTTTTTATGAATGTTCCATCATTATTACCCCAAACTACACAGAACCAGTATGAATTTTCATCCCTCACAACCACCTGAGCACCTCATGTTTGCTCCTTCTAGCTGATCGCGAGGTTGCCAGGCTCATAAACCTCCTGTTTTTTCTAAATGTGAGTCACCTCGAATATTGATCCGAACTTCATCTGTGCAAACCAGTGGGAAAACCCACATCTGTGTAAACGTTTACCCTATAGTACCAATAGAATCCATGGTGCTGCTATATATGGTAACATGGATCCCATCAATATACCCCCTGTATGTTAGCATATATACCAGCACCATGGATCCGTCATGGGCTAGGGTATCGAATCCATTTGGGTATGGATCAATACCTATTAATACCATTTTTAAGGGGATGAACATCCATACATCCCAGCTATTTTGATGTGAACTACAGGGGTACAAGGTTTTGACACACTGCCATTTATAAAACTTCTCCACACCCACGCCCATCCGAACCTTTTGACCCTCAGCGGCGAAATCGTGTGGATTGTCCACCTCGGTTCGCTGTGGTTTTTGTGTGGCTGGAGAACACCTAGTTCGGCTTACGTGTGCCGTGTGCCTTGGTAAAAAGATGGGTTATATGGGTTATATGATCAATAGTAGTGGTTAATAGTAGTGGTTAATAATATTTGGCAATTAATCACTATTAATCACTATTAAACCACCAAACCATCCTTGTATTGCCAAAAAAAACGAAAAAATGATAGATCATCCAACTGATACTACCATGGTTTATTATATTCAACGATACCAAAGCCAAGGGTGCACAAGAGGTGCACGTTGAGCCTATGTATATATATAGTCTGCATGGTGTTTATTACACACCCCATAAATGGTCCCAAACATAGTGAAAGTCGCCTACTAAACCGTGGTTTCGTTTGGGGGTCAAACTAGTATGGGGGGAAGGGATTATTGTAACAAAATAGATTGTAAATCCATTATTCTACCAACCATCTAAAATAGATTGTAAATCCATTATTCTACCAACCATCTATATAACCTAAAATCATGGAACACCCAGTATCCATCCACCATTACCCTCTGGGAAACATACAAAAACATATTAAAAATGGCCCAGTCGAAATAGTGGATTTACCCATTTAAAATTGTGATTTTCCATAGACAACTGTTAGTTTACCAGAGGGTTAACAATGGATATGATCAACTAAAAAAAGTAGGGATTCATGAAAAACTATGTTATATCCCGATGAAAAATCATCAAAAGAAACCATCATCCCATTGTAACCCCATAACGTAATCTTTATGAAAAACCAAAAAAAACATGGCATGTTGGCATAAATTTCCCTCTTATGATTGGAGATATTTCTATGATTTCTATGGCAAGTTTCCATCCATTGGTGGATGTTTATTCCCATTATAGCACCATTTTGACTACGTCCTTACTTCATTTTTCCAATTAATATCTCCACTATAACCAAATGTTTGATGTTTTTTTCCACTCTCCATCCACCATCAATCAACATCATAGTAATAGATTAGTTAGCTAATACTGATAAGAAAATACAAACAAATAAGGATTCATAGTATAATAGTATTACAATTAACTATGGATTACTACTCACTATATAATCATATTACAAGTAAGTATCTTACTATTACAAAATCAACTATGGATTATTATGAATGATGATTATGGATTATTATGGATTACTAAAACATTACCTATACAATATATATGAATATATACATGTCCAGTATTATTGTCGATAATATCCAATATTATTACATATCCAGCAAAAAAAGGTACATTGCATTATTACATATCCAGTATTTTAAATATCCAGTATTGTTACATATCCAATATTCTTGTCGATCATATCCAGTATTATTAACTGGTTGGTGGTTTTAACCATATTGACACATATGAAAGTCAGTTGGGATCATAACATTCCCAATATGATGGGAAAATCAAAAAAAAATAATGTTCCAAACCACCAAGCAGTATATATCATTAACCATTATTAACCATTATTAACCATCATTAACCATTATTAACCACTATTAACCATTATTAACCACCATAAAATGGCTGTTCCAAACCACCACCGCCAACCAGGTCATGTAATTTATCCAGATATTTCTGGACTTACCTTCTGGTAGTCAAACATGACAAGCTGGGAAATCCCCCAAAAAGATGGGCCATGTTCAACATAACGAACTGGAAGGATCCAGCATTTTTCATGGAAAAACTCACCAACCAGATTACTATCCATCACAGTAACATAGCTATTGAACATAGCTATTGAACATGATTTACCCTCTGCTAAACTGTTACATAACTATGGAAAGATCCACCATTTTCTAGCTGGGTAAATCCACTATTTCTATGCTCATTTTCAATAGCAAACTGTTAGTCATTACCAGGCCGGGTACCTATATTCAAGATGGTGGATCTTTCCATATAGCAAAATGTTAGTCATTACCAGGTTGGGTAAACCTCCATTTTAACCCAGCCAATGATTAACCAGCCAATGTTTTAACCCATGATTAACCATCATTAACCACAAGAAAACCATTACTAATCTCCATTTTCCTATGGTTTTCCCATGGTTTCCGATCCATCCCCGAGCGCTAAAACCAGGCGGCAAAGCCATCGCTTATCCGCGAGATGTGCACCAGCCCCGAGCGCTCCGAGCCCACGTCCACGAAGGCGCCGAAGTCCCTATAGGGCGGGGACCAAAAATGGCCATTCCAGGAACCTAAATTGGAGGCCTGTGTAAGGCCTATGTAAGGGAATATCCCCAGAAAATATGGCATTATATGGTACAGTACCTCCATTTTAGGATCCTGAAATTCCAATTGACATGGGAAAACCATGGGACACAGATCGGAAACTATGGAGAAATCCCTGGAAAACATGGGAACATATGGAAACAAATGTGCCAACCCGTGCGAAATCTATGAACAATCCGATGTAATTATGCATTCACACCTGAAAAGACATCAACAGATTAAAAAACAGGGCCGGAAATGGAGGATTGGTTTTCATGGGAAACTTTCAGTAAACACGTCAATAAATTTGTATGTATATATATATATATATATTATATTGTTGCATTTTTATATATTTATTTACATACGTACATATATATATATATATAAATGAAACATATGAAAAAACACGTATGTATATGTAAATCTGTCCACATATATATATATATACATATATACATATGTGTGTACATGTATACATATGTTTTTTTTCCCTCCTGTTCCCAGAAGCGATCAACGCTGCGACGGAGCAGTCTGAATTCTACCGCCACATGGATGCTTAGCCATCGTGGCCGATCCAACCATCAAATGAATCATCTCGCATCTCTTCACATCTGCGGATGAAATCTAGGGGTGGATCGAAAGGTGAACCAAAATCACCGCACTCAATGCTGGTGAGATCTGTACACATGCTTGTCGCAACAGCCTGGCAAAGAGCTGGTGGATACTCTTTGAGCGGAGCTGTGCGGTAGTTACCACTGTCATCCTTGCCGGTGGACGTTCCACTAGGCAGTTGCCCAGTAAGCAAGTGCCTATGCAATTCAGTCTCCAGGGTTTTCAGGTGGTCGGCTTCGGTGACGGGGCTCCAAAAAGTCCCTGAGACACCGAAACTAGTCGCATATTCGGCAAGGTCAGCAGCATGCGCAAAATGGCGAGGCGCCAAATGCTCACATAATCTGGTCTTTCAGGATCTTTGGGATGCTCAAGAAGCCCAGCACCGGATCGTGTTGCTACAGCAGCCAAACATTCGAAAGCAAAACCCAAAAGGAGAGTGCCAAGCATGACTTGTCGGAGTTCACCAAGTCGCAGTGACAAAAGCCCCCATGGTGCTTCAGGGCTGCGAACGACTCTCGGACCATGACAGTCGGCAAGTTCAATGTTTCTTGCCTTGCTCCATGTGTTGCAAGGCGGTCCACCAATGAACGCAACGACATGTCCACTCATGATATGGGTCAACCAAAATTCACGAGTTTCAACCTTGGCAATGTCTCCGTACTGGGAGTCAATGACAATGTCAACAGAGGCCGTCAAAATGATGAAATCCGGATGCTTCTTGGCTAATGCTGACATATACCATTCAATGTCTCCCCGTCTTCTTCTCCCTGCATAAGCGTGGAGCACGATTTTGTACCTGCATGGGATGCGTGGAATGACCTGAACGTGATTCCAAGCTCCAGGCGGCTGAACAGCCAAATCGGCATACCAGTTTTCCCATTCATCAAGGCGCACCTTCGATAATGAGTCAGGTTTCAATGGCTGCTTGGTGAGAAAGGGCCATGCATCTGCTTGTATTAAGTTCCGGACACAAAAGACAACTTGATCAAACGACACCTGTAGAGGTTCAGCATCAGCCTCAACAAAGGTGTCAAGGAATTGACTCAGTGTCTGCTTGCACATGGTCCAAGAAATTGGCTGTCGCCTAATCTCCTCACACAATGCCGCTTGAATGTTGTCAGCATCTTCCACTCCAGTTAAACAGAGGTAAAGAGCTTCAAGAAGCTCCACATATCGTAGTCGATGAAATCAACGAGTGCTCCATCTGGTGGCTTGGGTCCGTAGCCTTGCAAAAACGGAATGGCTCCGTCTGTACGCTCATGGAGAGCTCGGTCAATGCTTGAGCCCGTTCCTGATGTTGGGTCACACTTCAGACGTCGGCCCAGGAGGCTCTGTCGACACTGGTGCGCATGTCGAAGATGCGCAAGCACTTTTGCACGGGTGTGATATTCACGCAAGCAATTGGGGCAAGAAGTGTCTTCAAAAAGTTGACGGGCTGATGCACGAAACCATACGAAACCCGTGCCTTTTAAACATGTGCGCGCTTTCCCCAGCTTTCGATGCATGAATCGTTTGGCAGTGCATGCACCCAAATACTGTCGGCGGTTCCTCATGAGAGCCAGCAGCAAATTGGTATTGTTCTGTAGCTGCTGCCATAGCCATAGAAGGTCATCTTCTAACATAGCAATCCATGCCGTGTCTTCACAAAGCAAGCCCCAATGTGCAGCTCGACCACATCGATACAATGTGCCAAAGTATCGTAAGCGACATCCTCGCAAAAGTTCAGTGGGGGATGGTAAACCTGCTGAAACAATGACTTCATCATCAGTCAAATGTGCCGCATGGTTACTTCCCAATAATCTTTTGTAGAGTTTGATGATGCCGGCATGCAGTTGGTCTCGGCTTTTCTGGGTATCAAACGTCCATGACTCAAATCCGTACATGAGTTTGCTGAGCACCAGAGTGGAAAACATTTCTTGTCGTTTTTTCCACGCGATCTGTGAATGGCGATACAAAATACGCCGGTGCTGGGTAAATGCTTGTTGAGCAATTCCAAGTCTGCGCGTAATCTCGGCACAAGTCACAGTGCGGCGATGTAAAATCCCACCAAGGTGGAGATATCTACTCACGACAGAAATGTGGTGCGTTGCGTTTTCACACACAACAGGAAACTCACATGTTTCTGAATAGAATCGTCTGCGCAATCCTCTTGAGCCACAAACTTGAAAATGGAACATCACTTCTGTTTTTCCTTTCTTTAAATTTGGATGCATGTGAGCTGCTTGGCACAAATCAATCAAGATGCTAAGCGCAATGCCAGTTTTGGCAAGCAGAGCCTGATTTGACGTGGCACAGATACAAACGCTCAAATCGTCCATGCAAGTTGGGCCGATGAAAGGGATCGTTTCAATCTCACCTGGCGTGCAATCAATTAGGCCAGGATGCTCAATGTCCGGAATGCGCTCTAGCACATCAGCATCATCAAGGCGTGCTTCATATGTGCGTAGAAGCTGTGCCCACAATAGGCCAAACACAACGTCAGCGTAGCTGTCTCCAGGGCGTGACCCCTGTTCCGTGCGCACAATGTCTTGCTGATATCCAATGGTAAACCATGTATCGGTGTGCAGGGCTTGCATGAAACGTTGAACATGAATGGGAGCACCTGCACAAGCAACTGCGGATGGTTCTTGAAGCTGCTGATGAAATTCATGTAATGTGTCAGGTGAGTAACCTAAATGCCGTGCAATATAGGCTACATGTTCGTCATCGAGGTTGCCGCCAACCGCAAGAACACGAACGACCCGATAAAACGCTTCTGTCAGATCTAAAAAGATCACCGATACTGGAAATTTCTGTTTGGACTTCCATCGCATAAAAGCACGTGTCAAGTGAAGGGGAACTCCAACCGGCATCTTAGGTCTGCCACCTAGCTGCTGCGCTTGCATGAATTGTGTGTACAGAGCATGATGTTTCTGGCGCAGCGCCCGGTGGATGGTCTTTCCTAAATGACTATAGAGACCAACAGCGATCGATGCGAGGAGCATTCAGCAGGATCTCCCTTATGCTTCCATGCAATCGCTAAACGGCCGCCTTTGTGCTCCAATGCTTCTTGACCAAACAAGCACGTTTTCAGCATTAGGGAATACGAGAGGCGAGCAAGGTCTCGTGCTTTATATCTGCACAGTTCAGGAGGAATGCCATCATTACCTACAGCTTTTCCAATGGAAACCCTACGAAAGGCGTTTTCAAGCTCGACAAGGCTCGGCAATTCTTGAATTGGGACATTCAGGGAGTCAATTTGTACGAACTTGGCCAAATTGTCTATATAACCAAATTGCTCTGAAGGCACTGTGTGTGAGTCTCTGACCACCCTCCATTTGTTGGAAAAATTCAATCCATCTCTGTTGGGCAGCTTCTGGGGTGGCACAGACATCTCCAGTGGCATTTTTGACAAATGGTAAACACGCTCGCTTGATCTTCTTTGGGTTAGTGGGTCCTAGGAACGGCTTGGGGCAATGTAGAATCGTACCAGCGGGTACATTCTCCGGCAAGGCAGCAAGTTCCTGATTCAATGCCAAAGCTTTTGATTTGCGTAGCAGATTGCGAAGTCTGCGTGCACAAATGACGAATTGGCAATGCAAACGTACCTGAATACATAGGTTCGTGTTGACATATGCAAAATGCTTGGCAAGGTCATGTTCATCAGTGGCAGGGAGCCTCCACAGATGAAAAAATAACCTCAGCCTTGTGTGCATATTGTAGGATGTTGCATGGCGAATGCGCTTTTGAAGGGCCATCTTTTGAGTGCGAATCTCCCACACTTCACCCTGCAGACAGCTCTTTTTGGGTGCTGTTGGCGACACTGGGCACGCCAAGCTAACTTGCTGCAGCAGTTGAGAATTGAGACTTTGCACCTGAGTTTCCACATCAGTGGACCATGGGGTGGCCTGGAGCTCTCGGCATGCAATAAGATGTCGGTTTGTGCCAATGGCTTCTCGCTGGAAAGCTTTCTTGTTCTTCTCACCTGTTGAAGTTTTGATGTTGTCATTCCATGCAATCTGAAGCCCAACAACCTGGTGATCGTCATGGGCGTTGCCAAGGTCAAAATCAGAAATGACGCTTGAATGCGTGCAACAAGGGATCCACAGTTGAGGCACAGCAACAAAATCAATCCGATGGCTGCTGGTACCATCAGGTGATGTCCATGTGCTGATAGGACCGCAGTGGATTTGACTTGTACATGGTAAACACAGATTTTGAGCCTGCAAGAGTGCACGAAAAAACTCAGTGTTGGCTGAGCTGGCATCATCTCGGTCAAAAACAATTGGTGCAAGCTTTGGGCCAGACTTTGCATTTGCATCAATCAGGACAACCAATTGGTTGTCCTTGCAGTGTGTTTGCAATATGTCCTGAGTTTCCTGCCACCAGCATTTTCTTTCTTCTCTAGATCTCCCACTTTGCGGAGCATGTGCCGAGAAGACATGACATTGGAGAGCTGGGCTGTCAATACGTGCAAGCAGTCTTCTGGGATCAGCATGTATAATTTGAACATGTGATTTCTGAAGAAACATCGTCTTGTTTCCCGCAACTCCGATTGGCTGTGTCAAATTAATCCAGATCTCTATACCAAATCCTCGATGTGCGCCACCCGCAAGACGTAGGATGTTGTCAGCAGTACTCATACCTGGTGGACTCCTTGTTTCTTGGAGCCCCATGATGTTGAGTCTGAAGGTGCGCATTTGTTCACGGAGATATTGCACTTTACCTGCATATCCCTCGGGACCAACAAAGAGAGATCCAATGTTGGCGGTGGCAAAACTGACGGAGATTTGTGCTGGTTTGCTGGCACACTTTGATGACTCGCTGGCATTCTCAAGTTTACTGAAAGGCAATTTGGGTGGTGAGATGTCAAATCCTGATTTGGTCAGTGGTGGCAAGCCTGCTTTCTTGTCAAACATCATCCAAATAAAAGGAAGGAAGTGTCCCCATTTTCTCAGATCAACTTGCTGTCGTTGCAGTTTGTGTCCATGGGCAGCTTCAGTTTTTGCCAAAAAATCGGCGAGCTCATTCCATACATCACCAGCATGTCCTGCAACGTGTTCTATGACAAGGTCTTCCTCTGCAAGGCCTGCAGCAAGAGCTTGAAAAATGCTGCGTAATTGCACGAACGTTGGATGATTGTCATGGCAGCTGGTGCTACCTGAGGCCTGACTTGCTGTGGTGCTTGAATCAGTCCTAAAGACTGTGGGAACTGTGGAATTTTGGCTTAATCGCCAAAGTCCCGCCCAGAAAAGGCCTTCTCTTTCCACAAATTCTGATCCGATGGCATCAGTACCAAGGAAATGCGGAAGCGTGGACTCATATAAAACCGGTTGGGAGTGCCATCCGAGGAATGTTATTTTGGATGTGCCAGCTTCACTTCCGTAGGTTTCACCAAGAACAATGAATGCCCATGCATCAGGCGTGTCCTGTTCTTGGACCCAAAGGGGCGCCTTCCTACGATTTGATGGCTTTGAACTCCCATCCGTGTAAATCCGGGACTTGGAGGTGCGAATGCCAAGTGCATAACGTACGTTCACCGGAATTGAAAAACTGCTGCAGATCCTCAGGACTTAAGTCCCATGTCAAAGAATGGGAACTTTCTGTAGAAAATTCTGATGGCAGCTGAAAAAACTTTTGATTTTTCTTCACGGTTTGTGGCTTCGGCCAGGCCGTAGGCAGTTTGTGCTTGTGCCTAGGTGCGTCAAGCGCAGGTTCATTGTTGTGATACTGCAGCAGTATCAGCTGTGGTCTCGGATTTCTGCTACCAATGACAACTGCACGAGTAAAACCCAGCGAATGCAGAAAAATCATATGTTCATGTTCCGAAAAACATTTTTCTGCTCGGTGGAGAACAACTTCAGATCGGTCACGAAATCGCAGGGGATAGTTTACATAATGCCAATCATCTTTGGGAGCTTTCCATGCAATCGGTGTCACAAATGCAAGTCCTGATGCTGGCAGTCATTGACAGCTTGACGCCGTCTGCAATAGCCATTTCAAGCTTCATGTGGGAATGAAACACGTCTTGGGCTGTCTGGGCCGTAGATGTTATGATCATGAATTTGCCCCAGTTGTGCTTTTGCATCTCGTTCAGGGCAGTAATGGCTATTCCAGCTGTTCCAGGCCGGTCGTGAAGATATTCTCCGCTGCTCGAAGCCATTCATGCAAATGGATATGCTGTTGTTCAAGCTCATGCAAATGGATATACATATGTATGTATATATATATAGTGTGTGTGTGTTATTATTCAAAAAACTATATATGTATATACGTATATATATATATATATCCGTAGATATAAGGTATAACGACTGAAACAAATCATCAACCAACTAGGATGTTTATTGATTTTTGATGTTGCAAGCTTTGATTTGCTTTATGAAAATGAAAAAAACATGTTTGCAGACTTCAAGTCATAGATTTAATCAACAACAACATACAAAAACACTGGTCTATCATGAATCTCCCATTGTTTAAATAATGTTGACCTACGATTTGCAAATGGACCCTGAATAAAGCTAACCAAACTCCCAGACGAAAAAAACAATTACCACTAAAAAAAGCAATTTTGTTTTGGCCCCAAACCCAGATTTGCCGAGATGGGGCTGAAAAAATTGTCCATGCTTTATTTGAGGTGGCTTTCATGTACTAATTCATACTGCCAGCTCATTAGATCTTACCTTGATAACTTCAAATTTTCAAAAATAATGGCTGCTCTTTCTATTCAAAACCACTATTCAAAATTATCCAAAATGAATCCCAAATCAACTCGTCAAGGGTACCTACCCCCCATGAGGTGCCTTAGCACTAATTAGAGTTTGACCCTGAATAAAGCTATTGAGTTTCCCCCTCCCGCTGATCAAGACATGAATACTACATGAATACTAAATCAATACTAAATCCATGACATGAGTACTAAATCAATACTAAATCCATGACATGAGTACTAAATCAATACTAAATTCATGACATGAATACTAAATCAATACTAAATCAATACTAAATCCATGACATGAGTACTAGATCAATACTAAATCCATGACATGAGTACTAGATCAATACTAAATCCATGACATGAGTACTAGATCAATACTAAATCCATGACATGAGTACTAGATCAATACTAAATCAATTGTTGGATTCCGTTTTTTTGGAAATTGCATTTTATATTATCGTTTTAAATTGTGATAATTGAAAACCAATACATATAAACAAGTTTCATGGTGGCTATAAGTTTATTTAGGGGAAAAGAGGAGGGGGGAGGGGGCGCACGTTTATAAATCAGAGGTGGACATTACTGTGAATACAACCATTCAACTGTCGATAATGAACCCGTAAAAACGGGTGACTTTCAATAGCTATGCTAAATTACCATCATTTCTCTTGGTTTTGGTAATCAAAAGCGATTTCAAAATGCTATGGCCAATCTAAACTCATTCTCCATGGACATGGCTACGCCTACGCATTGAACTGACTATTTTTCCAAACGACCTTGGATAATTCGCCCCAGCTATGTTCGTTATATCCTCAAGAAATAAAAATAACCCAAAGTAAATGTGCATCAACATGACTATATTACTTCTGCCAAAAAAAAGTATCTGGTTGGTGGTTTCAATCCCTCTGAAAAACATGAAAGTCAGTTGGGATGATGACATTCCCATATATGAAATGGACAAATAAAGTTCATGTTTGAAACCACCAACCAGATATCTCATTAACCATTATTAACCATTATTAACCATTATTAACCACTATTAACCACCATTAACCACTATTAACCACCGTTTTACCCACACCATCCCATTCTAATCCCACGAATTATACCCAAAACATATCGCCTGACACCTTCCACGATGCCCTCCAGCTCATCACCCACCTGCCGATTCCCGCAACGAAACATGCAGCTTTCACCATCGCACATGGCGATGTTCTCATAGAAAAATGTCCGTAGATCTAACCGTGAAGAAACAGTGATATGATATATGATATAACATGATATAACAGTGATTTTTTCCGTGAAAAATACGACAGTTTGACCATCAATGTTGCAATTTCACTTCATTACACATGGGGCCCTGGGGGAGTCAGCCTTTCAAAATTTCTGCGGTTTTAGAAACTCCACCGGTTCAAGTTACCCAAGAATTACCCCAGCCATTCGACCCCAAACCCTGGGATCTAACTTATTCTGGTTGGTGGCTTTAACCATCTTGAAAAATATGAAAGTCAATGGGAAGGTTATCCCATGTATTTTGGAAAATAAAAAATGTTTGAAACCACCAAGCAGTTATTTGTCTAGTCCCCCTTCATTCCTGGTCGTTGGAAAACAAGCGACATATATAAGTCGACTATGACCACAAAAGCAAAGCATAAACCACAAAAGAGTAACGCGAGTTACTCCAAAACAATTTTGTCTGGGGAATCAGTGTGTAGATGGTTCCACTCACTTTCGTGCTTCATCATGGTTATGTTGTTTTTTCGTGGGACAAATCCAACCTGTTTGTTTTGATTTACTTCCAACAAGAAAAGATTTCACTGCTGAATCAGGACTTTAAATCCACATATGATTTATTAACTTGAAGTAAACCAGACACCAAATATCCCGCAACTGGTTGGTAGTTTCAACCGCCCTAGGATTGGAAAAGAAGCATGTCAAACCACACACCAGTAATGGCTTTAAAGCAGCAGTGGAACCAACGCATCAGTGGAATTCATATCATGTTAAATCTGGCACAATGAAATAACTGTAAGTTACAATGAATTAATATTCAACAGCTATCAATAAAACTGATAATTCATCCTGCAGATATCCTACATCAATTGAATTAATTTCCATGTAGGTTAAAACAATCAAAAGATCTGGTAGAGCATAGGATCCTACGTGTGCTTCCCATAAGAGGATACACCATGAGATCAATACACCTGGGCAACAAATTAATCATCTCACCCAGTCATTCCTTCTGTATGCTTGAAAGACAAGAAAAATGCTTGAACCCCGGAACCAGTCCTGCCTTCATGACTCCATTAAACATGCATTGCAATGAAAATTAATCTATCTATGAATCTACGGCTGTGATATGGGACAGTTAGCCCTAGCAACTCTCCTGAAAGGCCAGTAACGTCGCTGGTTGATATCATTGCAATGACTGGTTGGTGGTTGACCTACCCCTCTGAAAAATATGAGTCAGTTGGGATCATAACATTCCCAATATGATGGGAAAGTCATTTCACATTCCATGGTTCCAAACCATCAACCAGTTTTTGTCAAATTATCTAGATAAATGGACTTACAAACATGGTAGTCAAACATGGCTATTGCAAATGGTGGATCTTTCCATAGTTATGTAACAGTTTACCAGACGGTAATACCATAATTATCCCATCTGGGTAGATTATAATATTTCACTCACCTGAATAGTTCGGCCATTTGGGGATAAAATACCTCTAAAACAAAAAAAACATGATTTCCAGGGCTCGGCCGCATGATAATATACCAGTCTATAGTTTTCCTATGGTTTTCCCATGAAAACCTCCATTTTCCTATGGTTTTCCTATGGTTTTCCTCCATTTTCTCATGGGTTTCCTATCATTTTCCATTAAAACCTCCATTTTCCTATGGTTTACCACAGGGTAAACCTGACTTTTCAACTGGGATTTCCCAGCTGGAAACCTCCAACTGGAGAGCCTAGCACTTGTTTGCGCTGGTGAAATCCTTGAGATCTGGTCCTGTGTATATGCACAGCATAAATATATAATATAATATAATATAATATGATATGATACAATAGAATACAATACAATACAATATAATACAATACAATACAATAGAATAGAATAGAATACAATACAATATAATACAATATAAAATAATACATTATAATATAGTATAAGACAATAATGATAAATGTATAATGCATAATAATAATGTATATACATAGTATACATATGTTCATCATTATCCTACTGTTATCCCAGGATTATACCCGATGATAATCCTATGAACCATATAAAACATGATAAAACTGATAAAACCATGAATCAGCCCAAGAAGTTCATAATAAATCCATATAAACACCACATAAACCAATATAAAATCCATTCAAACCCATATAAAACCGCATAAAATCCATATAAATCCAAGCAATTTTCATGGAATTTCTGTTGATCCTATCCCAGCCAGATCTTCCCCCAGAGATCTAGCTCCAGACCGAAAAGGCCTGGAGATCAGCGAAGGGGTGAGTCACCTGGCAGCAGAAAGAAAATATTCCATTCTTTTTGGAAAATGGAGGCTTTAATGGGAGAACCATAGGAAAAGCATAGGAAAACCATAGGAAAATGGAGGTTTACCCTCTGGTAATTTGTTACAGTTTGCTATTGAACATGGCCCAGTCAAAATAGTGGATTTACCCATTGAAAATGGTGGATCTTTCCATAGCTATTTTGACATAACCAGAGGGGAAGTCCATTGGAAAAATCAGTCCTCATTTTTTCCCTATTTTTCCCCATGATTTAACCGAAATGTTGGGGAAATTGAACAGAAAATTGATCAATCCATGAGACTTTAATCAACCACGGGAAAACCATAGGAAAATGGTGATTAGTAATGGTTAATAATGGTTAATAGTGGTTAATGATGGTTAATCATTGGTTAATAATATATCTGGTTGGTGGTTGAGCCACCAACCCCCTCTGAAAAATGATGGAGCGAAAGTCAGTTGGGATGATTGTCCATTCCCAATATGATGGGAAAGTCATAATCCATTCATGTTCCAAACCACCAGTATATCTCATTAACCATTATTAACCACTATTAACCACTATTGGTTAGAAACTACCAACCAGCATGGTTAGATAATGGGATGGCTATGGATGACTTATTATCCCATTATTAACCACCATTAACCACCAACCAGATATGTGTTTTCTCTAGTGATCATGAGATGGGATCATCAACCGATGTGAACGGCTGGGAAATCCCCGAAAAACCATGGGAATTCAGAAAGACATGTTCCATCACCAAATTTGGTATGATATTGTGGATTATAACTAAAATGTTGATACCTAATTAATTATGATATTGTGGATGAATTGGATTATAATGATTATAAGCTGTTATACCATCCAGTCATTTGACATAGCTGTGGAAGGCCCAGTTACTTCGATGATTTACCTGTAACACATGGTGATTATTCATAGTCATGTCAGCTATGTTATATCACCAGAGCGTAGTTATAAGCTGTTACACGTATGTTAAACAAAAAACAATCCAATTTTGGTGGTTTCAGGAAGGTGCAACCAAATCCAAATGGTTTCAGGCAAGTGATTGGATTCTTCAGCAACGTTACCAAATTGGATAGTATGACTTGGCGAAACCACTTGGCATGTGCGGGGTTGATCCCATGGTTAGTTGTATGTTCTCTCCATGTTTCCCTGGTTTTTGCCACTGTACTGTAGCTGCTCGCCCCCTTTGTTTGGAAGGCGCCCGTTGTTGCAAAAACCTCACAGTTTCAGGGCACTGATGGCTTGGTAGGTTTGGTAGTGGTCTTGGGAAGCATCTTGGTTGGCCACCGGGCACTCCTGAAGGTCAGGTGAGTTTACACCGCAATGCCGGCGGTGTTTTCTGCGCCAGCTCCTTCGCATCAAAATCATACCATATCATACCCGCCCACTCCAGGGCACAAAACATGACTTCTTTTGATCAAGATTGGCCGATTGGCCGCCATGCATGGTTTGAATTCCCCCCTGAAACATTGGAAGATCGGCGTGGAACCCACGTATCAAACCACGTCCCTCAAATCCTCAACACGTCGCGTGGCCTCTCTGCTCCGCATGCCGCCGCGGCCGCCCAATTTGCTTTCCTTAGATCTGCACAGCTGGTGACTTTGAAGCCCTCCATTCATGTGGATATTCATGGGGAAATATGGTGGGGAATATCACTAATATCACCACCAATGTGAGGATATAGTATGATATAAGTGCTATAAAGGGCTGACCCGATCATGATCATGATCATGATCATCATCACCATCATCATCATCATCACTGTTGTCTTGTTTACTATCTTGATTAACTTATCATAATTCTCGTTGTTATTCGTATTTATTAGTATATTATGTAGGCTATAGACATTCGGAAATCCAGCGATTTTTATTATGACTTCTGGAATGCAGTTCTCCTCCTGGGGGCTAAAACCAACTCATCTGACTGATGGTTTCCAACAGTGCCATCCCGATATTTTTCTACTGCCAATCTGAGTTCTGTAAACAGGGCCATGTGAGCGGCCTTTGACAAAGGCATTGTTTAGGTCGTCTAGTTCTGGGTGGTTATCCGAAGTTGATTTCCCGTGAAACCATTGGTAAAAAAAATCCGGGTCAGACGCGACACGTTGTTAACATGTCAGAATCATGCGGATTTGTTTATAGCTGGGAAAACCATAGGAAAACCATAGGAAAACCATAGGAAAACCATAGGAAAATGAAGGTTATACCATGTGGTTATGACTAACATAGCGAACTAGAAAATCACCATGCTATTAATAGGTAAACCATCTATTTCTATGGGCCATCTATACCATGGCTATGTTAAATAACCAGAGGGTACATTACCAATACATTACCAATACATTACCTGTATACACACCCAAAAAGAACATGTCATTCATGATCCCGGGTAGAAACCACCGATGACATCCTTAGTTCCTCAAGGCATCTCAAGGCAGGAACTCAAAACAAGGGCTAAACCATTGGCCAGAAAAGCAGAACTGGTTGGTGGTATACCTACCCCTCTGAAAAATGATGGAGTTCGTCCGTTGGGGTGATGACATTCCCATTATATGGAAAAATAAAAAATGTTACAAACCACCAACCAGATATCTCATTAACCATTATTAACCATTATTAACCATTATTAACCATTATTGACCATTATTAACCATTATTAACCATTATTAACCATTATTAACCACCAAAGAATACGATACCACCGTCCTACTTTGTTTGACAACTTGGCGGTCGATGCATTTGATTTCACCGGTGAACCTCCCGGTAAGCAACCAGGAAAAAGCTCCCAATCAATAAAACCTTCAATTCGTAGCTGGGTAACGATCAAATATTCACGATCTACCCATGATTTTTGAAGGGTTTTTCTACCATGATATCTACCGGTTTTTCATCCTGTTTTGACCTACAGTTATAACACCATTGGTGGCTGGATCCAGCGATTCATCGCGTAAGGCTCCGTGGCAGCCCGGAAGCCCTTCCGAAGCGTACGTCAAATGCTGGGAGTTTTCTCATGGTGGAGCTGCTGGCGATAGCTGGGAATCTTAGGGTTTTTTCGCTGCATCGACCCATACATATCTAAGATCATGACTCAATGATGGTCCAAATCTCTAACGGTGGTTAGAAATTGTAAGAACTAGCCGATCGAACTATGGCTATACCCTCACTATTTGGTGGTTTCAACTCCCCTGAAAACAATGTATTATTCATCATAGCGGATCCATCCGGAAGGGTGGAACATACAACTACTCAGCTCACTTTTAGTGCAAGTAGTCGACAGTTTCCGGTTGGTGGTATACCTACCCCTCTGAAAAATATGAGTTCGTCAGTTGGGATGATGACATTCCCAGTATATGGAAAGTCATAAAAAATGTTCCAAACCGCCAACCAGATATCTCATTAAACATTATTAACCATTATTAACCATTATTAACCATTATTAACCACTATTAACCACTGTTAACCATTATTAACCATTATTAACCACTATTAGCCACTATCTTTACCACTATCTTTACCACTATCTTTACCATTTGACCATCTGGAAATTCTTGCCATGGCTTGCTGCATGAACTCCTCCCCCAGCAATAGTTCGATGAGTCGGAATGGAGAACCATCGATTCCACTGGTGATCAGATCCATTCTGAAATCCCATATCCCACGATTTAAAGGATATTCATAGTGTTGTAGGATATTCATACAAAATTGTAGGATATTCCGTATTCCTATGATTACTCCAGTGTTATCCCATAGTGTGGAAAAAGGATAATCGGATACTCCAGTGTTATCCCATACAAAATGTTGTCCTCATTTTTGGTTAGTTATATCCCATTATTTCACTATTGGATACTATCCTGAAACATATATAAACTCACATTGAACCATATGGCCATGAATCAAAACCCCTGTACCCTAGGTGCCCTAAATAACAGCTGGCTCACGGATGTTTACTCCTCCAAATATGGTAATGTAATAATAGGTTCTGAAACATCGCCATATAACGCCATATTAATATATCAAAGCCTATCAAACTATATTACCCTCTGGTAATTTGTTACAGTTTGCTATTGAACATGGCCCAGTCGAAATAGTGGATTTACCCATTAAACATGGTGAGTTTCCATCGTTTTTTGTCATTTATAGTGGATGTACCCATTGAAAATGGTGATTTTTCATAGAAATAGTGGATTTACCTATTGAAAATGGAGATTTTGTATGTTTACCATTTCGGGTATCCCATCCTGTAGACCGAGCCCAGTCTCAACCATCGTCAAGCCTAGCCTGGGACATCCAACGCACAAACCGTCTCTGTGAAAGTTCGGCCGTGGCATGACACTACTGGCTGATGTGGTTGAATAACTGGTTGGTGGTGTTAACCATCTTGAAAACCATAGGAAAATAGTGATTAGTAATGGTTAATAGTGGTTAATAGTGGTTAATCATTGGATAATTATGACTGGTTGGTGGTTTCAACCTACCCCTCTGAAAAATGATGGAGTTCGTCAATGGGAAGGATGACATCCCATATATGAAATGGAAAATATTCCAAATGTTCCAAACCACCAGCCAGATGAGCATTAACCAACCACAATGGGCCAATGGGCATAGAACTGATATAGCCAATTTGTGATGAGGTGAACATAGTGATGGGGCACCAGTTTAATTAAGTTGGTGATCATGATTAGGTGAATTCTATGGTTTATACATATTTACAATATATGAAAAAAAACGTTAAGGGTGCAGAATTTCTTTGTTTTCTTTCTTTGTTTTTGTTTTCAGTCTGGTGCACTTTTCCTTGCTATTTGCTACAATGTTGGAGCAAAAACCTGTACTTTGCTGAATTTTGGAGCTAAAATGTGCCATTTGCACTGTTCATCGATTGTTGAAGCACAACCGTGTTGGGTCCGAATAGTGGCATTGGATGCTATCATAGTGTTGGTTGGCTTAGGGTTTATTTAGGGTTGGTTTAGGGTTGGTTTAGAGTCATTTAGGGTTGGTTTAGGGTTTATTTAGGGTTGGTTTAGGGTTGGTTGAAGGTTTATTTAGTGTTGGTTTAGGGTTTATCCAGAGTTATTTAGGGATGGTTTAGGGTTTATTTAGGGTTGGTTTAGGGTTGGTTTAGGGTTTATTTAGGGTTGGTTTAGGGTTATTTGGGGTTGGTTTAGGGTTTATTTAGGTTTGGTTTAGGGTATATTTAAGGTTTATTTAGTGTTGGTTTGGGGTTATTTAGTTTAGGGTTGGTTTAGGATTTATCTAGGGTTGGCTATGTCGGGTTGGTTTAGGGTTTCTTTAGGGTTGGTTCAAGGTATATTTAAGGTTTAGGGTTTATTGAGAGTTATTTAGGGCTATTTAGTGTTGTTTAAGGTTGGTTTAGGGTCTATTTTAAGGCTGTTGAGGGTTGGATTAAGGTACATGTAGGGATACAAGGTGTGTATATAAAGAAAGAAAGACATAAAGAAAGACAGATATATAGATAGGTAGATAGATAAATAGATGGATGGATGGATAGATAGATAGATAGATAGCTGGAAAAATGATTGACAGATAGCTGGGTGATGTTCCAGCGCTGGAAAATGTTTGATTACCGGTATCCTTAAATTTTAGCAGTGTTCGAAACCCAATTGGCGTAATCCAGTGATACTGGCTGATAGGGATTGCCATCATTGATCATAATATTTCTGGTTAGTGGTATACCTACCCCTCTGAAAAATATGAGCTCGTCAGTTGGGATTATTATTCCCTATATATGGAAAAATGAAAATTTTCCAAACCACCAACCAAATAGTGAATCATCATAGCTTGAAAAACCCGCAGTAGCCCCTAATAGCTCCCCGATTTGATAGCGAATATGGATACCCCGATACCTCCGAAACGCTCTCCACTAACCACTGGATAACATCCATTAAAATAAGTGCTTCATACAAAGTGGTGCAACCCGCAGTAAAAACTTGGTTTGTCCCACCATTAACTATATTATATATATATATATGTCCACAAACCCTAGTGAAACTGGAGTTCATAAATCCTGTTTTATATTTATTACCATATTTATTCCCATAACCCACTGAAATTCCCGTCTGATTTTTGGTATCTCCGGTCAAGACACCGATTCTGCTCCGTATCGATACTGTTCACCTGTAAAACAGGCTGAGTGATGCTAGTCCATCTGAAAAACACAGCCATCTGTCCCAAAATGTCCAAATTTTCTTTGTTAGATTTTCTGATTGGTGGTTTCAACCAACCCCCTCTGAAAAATGATGGAGCTCGTCAGTTGGGATGATTTTCCATTCCCAATATGATGGGAAAGTCATAATCCATTCATGTTCCAAACCACCAACCAGATATCTCATTAACCATTATTAACCATTATATAACCAAATAACCAAACCACCAAGCAGTTTTTGTCAAAATATCCAAATATCCAAGTGGTTTCAGAAATGAACTCATTGGCAAAACGCAAAATGCAGCAGAACTCATCTTGAAATTGGGACTGTTTTATGATCAGGTTGGAGATTACAAGCTTGGGAAATAGTTTCCAAAAAAGTTCCACACACCCCGTGATGCAAGTAAAAATCCCGAACATCCAGAAGATGGTGTGTCTGAAAATGTTCAGTGCACATCTTAAATGACCTGTCATCATTTTCTCCAGCAAATTGGACAACTTTTTGGGGTTGATTCACTTTTTGGGGGGCCGAGTTCGAAAAAGCCAGTGGGCAAGTGGATTATAATTTTCGGATTCTTAGTGGTTTATTCATACTTAAGGATTATATATTAGAATTAGTGGGTTAGATATTGAATGAAATTGGATATATCATCCAGTTACCAACACGTTTGGTCTCGCGTTTTTCTCACGGCCGATCGCCGATCGATTTGAAACGATTCGTGGAGGGATTCCGTCACAGCTTTGCAGAGGGATTCATGGTGAGGCACCCAGTGATGTTTGTTGGTGGTGCAATCCCAGCTTTTAGTTGGTTTATAAATTCCATGAACTACCCTCTGGTAATTTAACATAGCTATTGAAAATGGCCCATTGAAATAGTTGGTTTACCTATTAAAGATTGTGATTTTCCAGGGCTATGTTAGTTTACCAAAGGGTATAAACTCTGTATGGTATGATATGGTATGGTATAATGGTATATGGCATATGGTATATGGTATGGTGTGGACATTTTACCATAGTTATAATATCATGTTATATCTACCATACACCCTACGCAAGTTAACCTAGTCAACTAACAGTTATCATGTGGTGGCCCAAACGCTCCAGGTCTTGGATATGGTTGGGGTAAATGTTGATACCATCTGGTTATGACTAACATAGCCATGGAAAATCCCCAAAATAAATGGAGGTATTAATGGGAAAATCATCTATAAATGGGCCATTTTCCATGACTATGTTAAATAACCAGAGGGTAAACAAAAACCACCATGGAGCATATGGGATACATCCTGGAGGTCCATGCCTCTCGTGATTTTTGCTGATTCACATCCCAAACTTTTGCTACTGCAACAACAAGCTGGTAAGACCCGATAGAATCATCCATGAAGCAACCATCATTTCTGTACTCTGGAGGACAGGGTAATAACCAAGCGCCAGGGCTTTTGGGTGCATTGCTCAGTTGCGTATGCCAACCGAATCCCAGTTGCAGTTCATCCAATAAATATACCCTTTGGTAAACTGTTACATAACTATGGAAAATCACCATGTTTAATGGGAAAATCAACGAACTAAATGGCCATTTTCAATAATAGCAAACTGTAACAAATTACCAGAGGGTATCAGTATGATGTGGAAAAGTCAATGCCACAAGCCTATCCCATTTGGCCTTGACTTGATATCCATAAACATGGAAGGTTTACTATTATTACCAAATTCGATCACATGTTCATGCCCAGCAACCGCAAATTTACTGGTCATTCTTAGCATTCACCATTCCAATTTTTTGTCACCTATACCCTGGATGTTTCCAAAGTCATGGGGGTACCCCATTTCTCATCCATTTGTTCATAGGATGTTCCATGAAATAAACCATCCAGAGAGCTTGGGGTATCCCCATCAATCTGGGTAAATCATAATATTTCACTAACCTGAATTAAGGCCATTTGGGGATGATTCCCCTTACTAACCATGATTCCAGTGAGGTCGCAGTGAGGTCGTTATAATTTACCCAGATCTATGGAAATCCCCATATGATTTGTGTTGGGCGCCGGATTGGATCGAAGAGTTGTAGCTGGTTTTTCGCAAAGATCGAAGATCTGAAAAAATGCAGTGCGTTTCTTAAACCTATTGGAATATATGGAATATATGGAATATATGGAATATATGGAATTATAATATGTGAATATAATATATATATATATGTGATAGATACTCTACATCGAAAGAACATAATTAATAGCTATATATTCGATAGATAGTCTGAAACTATATTTATTTTATACCTATCCCTATGGATGCAAGTACCTTCTGAGGGAGTATGACTGGCTTATGATTTGAGTGGTGAAGTAACTTCTCAGCTAGCATTTGGATCCATAGGAATCTATAGTTTTTGTTCAATAGATGGGAGTACCCTCATAGCTAGATGGTTTATAAGGGAAAATACCATTAAAATTGATAATTTTGCGGGTACCCCTATTTCAGGAACCCCCAATACTCTTCCATTAATATGGCAGTGTGTCAAAACCTTGTACCCCTGGTGGACATCAAAATAGCTGGTAAATGGATGTTCATCCCACTAAAAATGGTATTAATAGGTATTGACCCATCCCCATATAAGTAATGGTTCAGTCAGTTTTTCCCGTAAAAAAACGCTGCGTGTTTCTCTACATTTGCGTAGCCCAAACCTATGTTTTCCCTATCAAGATAGTGAACACTGACCAATAATTTGAAGTCCGACATGTTGTGAAACCTCCAACTAAATCGCCAATTTTGAATAGTTAGTAAAACCCATATTTGATGGTAAATCATGATTTTTTTTTACCAGTTACCCTTCTGGTAAGTTGACTTAGCCATAAAAAAATTACGAATGTGTCGATGATTTATGATGATTTACCTCTCAAATATAGCAATTAATTGAAAATTTCCTCAAATGCGGAAACAAAATGGGATACCCCTAAATTTACATCCCCAAGTTTCGTCCCATCTTTGTAGGATTTTCCATGAACTAAACCATAGTTAAAAATAGTTCGTCTACTAGTTCATCTAGCCACTCAAGCCATGGTGGTTTTCCAGAAAGGAATTTTCTTCATGGGATTTTCCATGAAATAAACTATAGTGTCCATCATTACATTTTCATAGCCATTTCCAAAGTAAAAATTGTGTTTAATAGAAACTAATTCATTTACCCAATAAAAATGGTGGTTTTCCATAGCCATTTCCAAAGTCTCTTTGGAGGTACCCCATAAAACTCATCCATTTCTTCATGGGATGTTCCTATGGAAATCGTCACCATCTTGGGAAGAAACCCCAGCCCCACCCAGCCCCACCCAGACGGTGATCTCGTCTTCCTCTGACACGTAGTCCTGACCGGAAAAACATCGTGGGGCTAGAGTTGATCGATCATTTCTTCGATCGTTGGATATAGAATAAATTAAGGAATACTAGGGAAACTGAGCCAACTTCCAGGCATGGTGAAAAATATGGTTTCAATATGGTTTAATAGGGAATAAATTGGAACATAATCCAAATGTTTGAAACCACCGACCAGACTATAACTATACGCATATTATTTGGGATATGATAGGCTGTACCCTCTGGTAAACTAACAGTTTGCGATGGAAAGATCCACCGTGTTCAATGGGAAAACTCACTATTTCCATGGTCATTTACAATAGCTTTTTGTATGTTTACCAGAGGGTATATGGAATAAATTGGAATACTTTCTGGTTGGTGGTTGACCTACACCTCTGAACAATATGAAAGTCAATGGGAAGGGTGACATCCCATATATTATGGAACATCAAAATGTTCCAAACCACCAACCCGCTATATTTTAAGAGTCTATCCTATGGATGCAAACGTACCAAAGATTGAACATCGGGATTCAATTTAGTCAATGTTGAAGTTGAACATCTATAGTATAGATTCATTTTTGAGAAACTGAACCAGGAAATTGTCTCCTTTTTTTTGGAGGGGGGAAGGTGGTGAATCGTTACCATTGAATACCATTCACATTTTGCACTGGAAATAGGACGCCCCCCTTGTGGACGTAGATTTGTTTGGGGCATAAAGAAGGTGAGGTTTTACACTTTAGTCAACGGATTGGTTTAAGGGAACATTTTAACCGGAAAGCCCCATATTTAATGGGAAAATCTATGGTTTCCTGTAGATTTTCCCAAACAGTTCCATTGATTTAGACATGGCCCTTGAACATTGGCGTTTAAGAAACACCTCTGTGAAACATCAAAGGGTGAGATGACTCTGATTCATCTACCCTCTGGTTATGTCAACATAGCTATAGAAAATCACCATTTTGTAGCTGGGTAAACCATCTATTTCTATGGGCCATTTTCCATAGCTTTTTGTATGTTTACCAAAGGGTATCCCTATTCAAGAGATGACATTGCCAGAAACTATCAGATTGAATGTCAAACAGGGAAAGCATCCCTGCTGTTGTACGAATAAAGACTGTGAAGTTTTACGATGCCAACAAAATCTGCGCTACATGGTTCATTGTGTTCAGTGCTACTTTGGTACATCAAATCCATTTCCCATAGGATCCATGGTGCTGCTATATATGGTAACATTTACCATCAATATACCCCCTTTATGTTAGCATATATACCAGCACCATGGATCCTATGGGTTTTTTGATGGCAAATTGTGTGAATCCATCTGGGAATATATATATATATCATGCACAATATTTGTTCGAAGTCCGTGTTTCCAGGTACAACCGCCCCCCCGTTGTAGGGAAACAACATGCTGCTTGGCTCGTTTCAACTGGCATACGAACATGTCCCCGATTCTATATAGCAATACTATTGTTTATATACCATATTGCTATTTAATTTGGATTGCTATGTTGGTCACAGAGTATTTCATACTTTAATACGATCATTTTTAGACAAACTCATTGTCCGTATGAAAAAGTACTCATGTGACCAACATGCAGAGGTCGCACTAGTCATCCCCAAATATCCCCAAATAGATGGACTATATATATATGTATATTTGAATTCCCTATGTGAAAATTATGTTTCATATATTGGTATATATATATATGTATATATATGACTATATTAGAGGTATATTAATGTAATATATGTATATAAATACGTATCCGTCACATCATCCATGGGTGATTTTCCAGCCATGGCAGTACTCCTGAGGATCCTGAGGCCTGAAAATCTTTGGTAAAAAGATGTTTATCAAGTCTTGATGAAACCACCATGTAAAAACTCTGAGTTTCCTGCGACTCAAGTACTTTGAATATGGCCAACAAATTTCAGCTACTGAAGTTAGCAGGGTATCACCTGCTGTGTAGCTACCAATTTCAACAACCTTCATGGGAGTACGTTCCATTTTATCCCCGTATCATGTGGGAAAAAATCACTATTACCATCCGAACCCAAAGTCTACAAATTTGCAGTACTTTCATGAAAAGATCGTTTTTTTTTTCCTAGGTCTCTGCGATTTCAAGGGTTTTGGGATCCCATGGTATATCAATTAAATCTGCTTAATCCATTTCATTGGATTCGATTCCAAAAAAAATATTCAGATGCTTGGGAAACATCCGTGGATGAGTTGGGGCTACAAGAAACCATACTATACGCATTACTGGTTGGTGATTTTAACCATCTTGAAAAATGATGGAGTGAAAGTCAGTTGGGATGATGTTCCATTCCCAATATGATGGGAAAGTCATAAACATGTTCCAGTCACCACCAACCTTTCATATACTATACCTATAGTATTACCTATCATATTCTATATATCCTGGCTGCCATGGGATTTTCCACACCCAAAAAACATCCAAAAACAGTATATTTCTAACTCTCACATTTGCATTCGTGAAGCTGACCCTTCTTTATGTTTTTTGGGAATATCATAGGTTGTTTTAGGTACACATCTTGTGCAAGCAGTGCTGGCAATACCCACACTCAATTTGATTCTGTTTTTCTCCCCTTTCATGTTGCTTTCCAAACTTGTACCTTTTCTACTGCACCTTCCTTCTTTTAGAAGGTGCACAACCCCCAACAGGTTTGCTGTCCATAGCTCTGAGGGTACGTTTCCTGGATTGAGAACGTTTCCTGGATTGAGAACGTTTCTTGGATTGAGTACGTTTCTTGGATTGAGTACGTCTCTTGGATTGAGTACGTTTCTTGGATTGAGTGCGTTTCTTGGATTGAGTACGTTTCTTGGATTGAGTACGTTTCTTGGAATGACTACGTTTCCTGGATTGAGTTCCCCACCCAGCAGCCCCATCCCATTTCCAGATCGCCTCCATCAACTCTGCAAAAGTAAAAAGTACGTTCCAAAAAGAACGATGTCGTTTTTGCACACGTTCCACGGTTTTAGCTTCATAAATCTCACATTCGCATTCGTTATGGCCAACATACTTTCTACTTTTTTACAACTTCATTCTGTGCTCCCCGAAAGTTAAAACACCGTTTCCTGGATTGAGTACGTTTCCTGGATTGAGAACGTTTCCTGGATTGAGAACGTTTCCTGGATTGAGTACGTTTCCTGGATTGAGAACGTTTCCTGGATTGAGTACGTTTCCTGGATTGAGTACGTTTCCTGGATTGAGTACGTTTCTTGGATTGAGTACGTTTCCTGGATTGAGTACGTTTCTTGGATTGAGTGCGTTTCTTGGATTGAGTACGATTCTTGGATTGAGTACGTTTCTTGGATTGGCAGTGCGACCATGATCTCAAGCATGCAAAAACCACCTTAGGACATCACTGGGTCTGCCACTGAACTGACACAACCGATCTCCAGGAGAAATGGGCATCAATCAAATTTTTGCATCTCCCCCAGCTTAAAAGAACGATAAAGGTATTGAGACCGAATGTTGGAAAAGAATGCGCATTCATGGGTTAGAATATTAATTAATCAATGATTAACCATCATTATATAACCACTATTAACCATTATTAATCACCAACCATTAACCAAAAAAAAACGGCACAAAAAGCCACGAAAAGCCACGAAAAACCCTGCGCCGTTCCAAGTTCCTCGGGGTTTTCGATCCGCTCGTTGGAGATCTTGGACACATGGACCAGGCCGTCGGTGTAGGCACCTACCGAGGGCTTTCGGGCTTAGCCGAGAAACGGAGGTGTCACCGGCCGGTTGTATCAAAAAAGGCCATGGAAATGGTGGATTTTCCATGATTTTTCATAGAAATTGTTGGTTTACCCATACAAAATGGTGATTTTCTATGGAAATAGTGGATTTTCCCATGAAACATGGTGATGTTACATCGTTTTTTGGTATGTTGACCACTTCGGGTACCATGTTTTTTGCACCCCAAACAATGGAGGTGTGTTGATGGAAATATGGAGAAATCCACAAACATTGACGCGAAAAACTATGAAAAACTTAGGTTTGGATTAGTGAAACAGATCCATGTTTGGATTAGAAAAATTACTGAGTGAAGATTTCACTAATCCTTGCTGGTGATATCGCCCATATGGCTGGTGATATCCCCGGCACCGTGGCATCCAATGCTAACACCATTCGATCCATATCATCGATCGGATGATGTTGATAAATGCCCCAGTTTTTCGGAAAAACCCAACAACAAAGATAGCAAATGGTAAACGTTTACACTTTGCGAACTGGAAAATGGCCTATCTATAGTTGATTCACCCGTTAAAAATAATGATTTTCCATAGTTTATTGTATGTTTACCAGAGGGTACCCTTTTTTAGTTGATTTACCCATTAAAGCTGGTGATTTTCCATAGCTATGTAACAGTTTACCAGAGGGTTAGCAAATAGTTGATTCAATCTTGACCTTTCACGAAACATGTGTTGGGGCACTGCGGGGCCGGTGATTGGTAAAGTATTATTACTACCCTCTGGTAATTTAACATAGCTATGGAAAATGGCCATTGAAATAGTTGATTTACCGTTCTTAAAAATTGTGATTTTCCATATAGCTATGTTAAATTACCAGAGGGTAAACCTCCATTTTCCTTTGGTTTTCCTATGGTTTTCCTATGGTTTTCCTATGGAAACCACCATAACCAGAGGGTAACCCCATTGGTTATCTACCCTCCTGTAGACGTAGATCATAATTTCCGAACAGAAACCTTTTTTGGGTTTTCCACATCAACGTTTATCCCCAGGGTACCAATGAAATCCAAGAAATCAATGGCCATGACTCAGGATCCAACAGATGGAGGTACCGATTCCATATATTTTTGGCCTATTTTTTAGGCCTAAATTTCAGGGGGATATCCCCACAAAATATGGCCAAACATATGGTACATTTACGTAGCTCCATCTGTTGGATCCTGAAGATCTCCCATTGAATATTATATACCAATGATTAACCATCATTAACCACAAGAAAACCACTATTAACCATCATTAACCATCAGTAAGTGATTAACCATCAGGTTGTTGAATGGAATATATACCAATGGTTAACCATCATTAACCACTATTAACCATTATTAACCATTAGTAACCATTAACCAACCATTACTAATAAAGGTTGTTGAATGGAGGGAAGTTTCTATCAACCAAAAAACGGAAGAAATGGGGACATCTCTGGATTGGTTTGAAAACTCCGCGCTTTTTTTAGGAGGCTGCATCCGAACTGCGCCAACTTCCAGGCATGGTGAAAAATATGGTGTCAATATGGTGTCAATATGGTTTGATATGGTTTAATAGGGATAATACTGGGATAATCATGTTTCAATATGGTTATATATGGTTTAATATGGTTCAATATGGTTTTATATGATATAGGGATAATAACGGGACAATCATCGGATAATAATGGACATAGCCTCCAGTGTCATCAAGCTTGCAAATAAAGCACCAAATATTTGCTTCATCATGTGGCATGTCATTCAATCTACCCTCTGGTAAACTAACAGTTTGCTATGGAAAATTACCATTTTGTAGCTGGGAAAATTCCACTATTTCTATGGCCATTTTCCAGTTCGCTTTTTGTATGTTTACCAGGCCGGGTATCTCCAGTTGTCCAGTGGAGAATTGCTCGAGAGCATTTCTTCCACGCAAGGCCTTGGCTCGTTCACCAGCTCCCCGAGGTCTCGGCTGGCAGCACAGCAAGACCTTGTCGATGTAGGTGGACAATGACGCAAGCGTCACCAGGTATCGGAAGTTCCCAATCTTCTGAGGGGCTTCAAAGCAGGCACCGCCTGAGCACCCTGCCTAGTCAAGGCCTAGTGTTCCTTCAACATGGACTCACCAGAAGTCTCGATTTCTGTTGTCAGAAGTTGATAGAAGTTGTCCATAGATTCCACGGCAGGTTGTTGTGAAAGCAAAGGTTAATAGTCACAAAAATCATATGTTTATATATGTTTATAAATATAGTGTATATATATACATTGTGACTATTATAACAACACAATTATATATTATATAATGTGACTATATAACTACTATATATATATATATTAATATATGTTTATATTGTACAATGTAAATTAAATGAACCCATGATTGGTGCTGATATCACCCTTCAAACAACCGTTGTTATTAGGGGCCAACGCCCCGAGGCGGGCGTGCTTTTTCCATCTATTTGTCGCGTGCTCATTTTTGATCATTTTACGTGTTGCAGTTGTTGACATGTTGCACATGCTCGCTTATGCTCCACAGGGGCTGTAATAACGTTCTTGACGACTTTAAGACTCATGGCAGTACCGTTTTCAAAATCAAAACAAATATCTGCACAAGTTGGGGCAACTCTTCAAAATGAAGAGCAGCGGTTGATACAAAGAGAAAGCAGAGCTGGACTAAATGCGACCTTGGAGTCCAAATGTTGCTACATTGATCTACATTGCAAAGTTCTTTTTTGAGTTTTCACCTGATCGTGGAGACCACACAAATCAACATTAAATAAACATAAGTGATTATCCAGTATCCAGTGAACATACTTATATCATTTGGATCGTAAAATTCTATGGATTATGTTTATGTTTACCCTCTGGTTATTTAACATAGCCATGGAACATCACCATTTTTAATAGGTAAACCATCTATAAATGGATCATTTTCCATGGCTATGTTAAATTACCAGAGGGTAATCCTTCATCCACAAACCCAATGATGAAAAAAAAAACACCCCCGCTACAAGGCGTTGATTTACCGTTGATTTAAAGCCCGCTATGAAAAAACAACCATCTCACATCATTTTGAACAAATCGCATTGAATTCCCATAAGAAAACCATAGGAAAATGGAGGTTTTAATGGGAAAACCATAGGAAAACAATAGGAAAATATAGTGATTAGTAATGGTTAATAGTGGTTAATAGTGGTTAATGATGGTTAATCATTGGATAATTATAACTGGTTGGTGGTTTCAACCAACCCCTCTGAAAAATGATGGAGTTCGTCAATGGGAAGGATGACATCCCATATATTATGGAAAATAAAATTCATGTTTGAAACCACCAACCAGTATAAAACTGTGGTTCCTGGAAATGCAGTTCCACTTAAACATGGATACATCTTATTATATTAAACTGTAGAAAAACCATATTCCAATCAGGGCAGCTGCAGTTTGGGCACCCACATCTACGAAGGCGCCAAAGGGCACCACCCGTCTCCTTGGGCGAAACGTGGATTTTCAGGGGATGGAACCCCACTTAAAAAACATCTCATGGGGATAGAACCACGGAAAACTATGGGTTAAAGTTGGTTTAAATTCTATGAATTTTATATGTAATGCACAAAGGCAGTGTATCATAAAATGACATGTTATATGCAAACTACAAAACTACAGATAGTTTCAACAATCAAGTGCCTTTTTAAGGTACTTAAAAGCCAACGTGAAATTGCGACAAATTAAAGGACCGGATAAACACAATTGACAGAGGCGAAAATGGGATGGGGCCAGGAAAGAGGCGATTGGGGAAGACTAAATCTGTGTGAAAGAGCGTTTTGTGTGAAAGCGTTGTGTTTTTAAAGTGCCACCCAACCTGGTTATGACTAACAGTTTGCCATGGTATAGATGGCCCATAGAAATAGATGGTTTACCGTTCTTAAAAATGGCATGGTGATTTTCCATGGCTATGTTCAATAACCAAATGCTATGTGCGAAAGAGTTGAGGCGTGACATGGAGAAACAGCACCTATCTGCAGAACGGCAAAGTGAGCTGCAACCTGTCCACCGAGCACCCTCAGGCCTCTTGTGGCCTTTCAAGACCAGCATCCTTACCCATGACGGATCCATGGTGCTGGTATATATACTAACATAAAAGGGGTATATTGATGGTACATGTTACCATATATAGCACTAACATGCACTAACATAAAGGGGGGTTAAATTGTTGATGGGATCCATGGAGCACCATTAATATAGCAGCACCGTTAGGATGGATCCGTCATGGCTTATAGATTTCTGGCCGAGCCACCAGAGCCACCGAAAAAAAAGCCACCGAAAAATGGATGTCACAAAATGTGCCACACCTGCCACACAAAAGTGTTGTGTCAATGTCTTATATAAATCACTATAAAATCCCATTGAATCACCAAGTGCCATAGTTGTGTGTCTGTGAAAGAGTTGTGTGAGACAAAGAGTTGTGTGTGACAAAGTTGTGTGTGGAGGCTTGCGGGCGGTAGGAGGCGGGAGGCGGCGGACGGGAGTGCACCAAAAAAAAACAAGAACCCCACACAAAAATGTGGGGAACAAAAACCCAATAAAAGCCAAAAGCCAAGTGAAGCCAAAGCCAAAAGCCAAAAGCCAAGTGGACATGCAAATGGGAGATGTTAGCTCCAAAATGCAGCAATTTTGGCTCCAAAATGCAGCAAATAGCAAGGGAAACTGCATCAGACTGAAAAACAACAAACAACTTAAAAAACAAAAATATACCATGGCCCTTATTGTTTAAATAATGATCGTATGATAGTATGATAGTAATTATGTTGGTATGTTGGTATGTTGACATGATGATGATGATGATGACGACGACGACAATAATAATTCAATTTTTGAGCGTAAAAAATCTTAGAACTTCCCTAAATCGGAGATGATTGCCATTTCTTGCCCACCCGAGAATAGAATGTAACTCCAATCCAAGGGTCACTTCTCCTATCAGCTTCTGCCCAATCTCGAAGGTGTCGATATTGACCCTGCACATCGAAAAGCATCGCGTCCCCGGTTTTGGACAGCTTGGGCCCCCCTCCGATTTTAAGTGTTTATACTCGGGGGTGAAGTTGCAATTCATGGTTATACCATACCCATATGCTCCATGTATGGAATATGTACCAACATTTGCCCTAAAAATCACCCAGATGTAGGTAAATATACCATACATGGAGCATATGGGATACCCTTGTTGGTTATACTATAACCTTGGTTATAAATCCCCATCAGTTGGGATATCACCGCGAAATTCAACTCTGGTGAACCACATCCACCACTGTTCACTGGAACTGTATTCCCAAGTCGTACACATTTAAGTGTTCCTATTTTTTGGGAATCATTGACATGCTGGTTGCTGGTTTGAACCACGAAAAATATGAGCTCGCCAAAATATGAGGTCGTCAATGGGAAATATTATCCCATTATTATCCCATATTATCCAATATATTATGGAACATAAAATTCATGTTTGAAACCACCAAGCAGTTGGATGATCTTTGGGAGCCGGAGCAGGGCTGAAGAGCCCTGCTCCTTTTTTAGCAGGGCTTCACCTTCACCAGACGATGTAGGGATTTTACCAGCAGGGCCTGTCTCCCTCGATTTATGGGACATGAAAAACACACCCTGGAAATGATTTATATGACAGAAATGTCACTATAGTTTATTATAGTCCAGAAATGATTTATATGATTTTATATGATCATCGCTGAGAAAAATGTCCAGACATGATTTAAAAATGATCATCTTTTATGATCCCGAAAACATATGATCATCGTTTCAGCCATTTTCTCGTCACTTTCCCATTCTTCAGCCATCCTTCTTTGGATCCATGGTGCTGCTATATATGGTGCTCCATGGATCCCATCAACAAAAACCCCCTCTAAATGTTAGTGTATATATATATATATCAGCACCATGGATCCTATGGCCATTGTTCCCAAGGGTTAAACCCCTCGTGAAATCCACATAGACCCTGGATGCTCCGATCAACTGGGCCTGTTGGTTACGTTGCTTGGTTACATCCTCGGCCAAACGTCAGACCTAAAAAAAAAAACGCCTTTAAATTAAAAATTTCTTATGAAGAGAAAAATAACTCCCCGGAATGTGATGATCTGATCCTATCATTTTTCCACATTACTTGTTAAATCCCAAGGTTATTAGAAAACATCCCTTAACTTTACCGGATTGGACATGTTAACTCGATAAAACTCAATTTTCTTGCAGGATACATCACATAAAACCACCATTTTCACAGGATACCCGGCCTGGTAAACTGTTACATAACGAACTGGAAAGATCCACCATAGCTTGTAGCTGGGTAAATCCACTATTTCAATGGGCCATTTTCCAGTTCGCAAACTGTTTTTCCATAACCAGGTTGGGTAAACCTCCATCTTCCTATGGTTTTCCTATGGTTTTCCCATAAAAAGCCTCCATGTTCCTATGGTTTTCCTATGGTTTTCCCATAAAAAAGCCTCCATTTTCCTATGGCTTTGCCACGTCAACGAAACACAAGAACGGCTGCCACACCTGGGTCTTTGGATGTCATCCACCAGCATCTCGGATTCTGGATCGCTTCCATCGGGGTCTTCCCACCTACGGTCACGCATATATACCGAAACACCACCAGAAAGGCAGGGTGGTAACCCCAACAAAAAGCATGGATTCATTGAACGAACGTGTCCCTATGATTGATTGTTGGTTTCTATCATTGTTAGTTTATAGCTGATAGATATTTATAGATGGTTATACCACAATTTTTGCAACCAAAATTCACCAAAGAAATGGATCAAACATGCGAACATCAGTGGTTTTAGCCGCCGCCCCATGAAGTCAGCCGGAAAACCCTCTGTCGAATCTCCACAAAAACCTTGGGCAGTCACTACAACAAACCCCCAAGCTAATCATCAACCAACCATCATGTAACCACCATATCCCGTGTGTATATATATACCCTCTGGTAACCTATACAAAAAACTATGGAAATCACCATGTTGTAGCTGGGTAAATCCATTATTTCAATGGGCCATTTTCCCGTTCGCAAACTCTTGACATAACCAGATTGGGTATGTTTGATGAATTCCTCAGTCATAGAGCCATCATCAATGGTGAAATTCCTAGATGTCATACAGAATCATCAGCCCCAACCCATCATTTATCATTTATATCTGGTTGGTGGTTTCAACCTACCCCTCTGAAAAATATGAGCTCGCCAGTTGGGAGTATTATTCCCAATATATGGAAAAATAAAAAATGTTCCAAACCACCAACCAGTCATTTATATCCATTTAATTACACCCTCATCACCATTAATGCTCAAGCCCCCATTTGAAATGACAATGTAATTATCAACCAATACCCTGAACTATTGCCACTGCTTGCCGTGAAATCCCGATTTTAAACGAAAATAATGATCAACCGGAACTATGAGGCTGGCCACTGCTTGCCGTTCACCTATAGGCAAATAAGCAGTGGTAGCAATTCATAGTGTTGGTTGATCATAATTGATGTTATTTCATAGAGGTTTATGTCAATTTTAAGGGTTTAACATGGTTTTAAACATGATTTTAATATGGTTTTAACTTTTAACATGGTTTTAACATGGTTTTTACCATCATTTTTCTTCATCACCAAGGTGCTCAATGAGATACTTTCCCTTTCCAAGGTCATCTTTTACCGTGGCCGCATAGAACTCACCGTCCTTTCACCACGGAGCTCTTGACACAAATATGTTTCTGATATGAATGGTATACTAATGAATAATGGGATATTAATGGGATATTAATACCTGATTAGTATAATATTAATGGAATATAGTTATGGTATACTAATATGGTTAATGAATATCCCATCAGGTATTCATATATCCCATTGATATCCCATGAAAATATCCCATCAGCTATTCATCATGACAGCATATGTTCCTGTTAATGAATATAGTTATGGTATATTACTAATGAATAATGGGATATTAATGGGAGATTAAGGTATAATATTAATGGAATATCAATGGTATATGAATGGGATATGAACATGGGATATAAAAAGTAGTTATTAATGAATAATGTGGGTAAAACAATGCCATTTGCACCACCTCATGTTCGATTGTAAACATGTCAACGATAAAAATGATGATGACTGGGGGATGGTGCGTAAAATGGCATTGTTTTACCCACAATAGATGGAATCATGCAGTATCCTTTGTGATTGATCAGTCTTCATGAGGGTTTATAGTTTGGAAAGCGCTGTAAAACTCTGGCGATTCTATATTTGAAACCAATAATGTCCTTTTGGTAAAAATAGAGGGGCCGGCTTGGTATACCATCTATCATCATAGAAACCTGTTGTTAACGGTTAATTAAAGGGGTTTCTTCAAACCCCTCTATTAATCAACCAACCAATGGGAAAAGGACATCTATATTTGAAACATTTGCATCAAACATCTTCAATCCAATGGTCAGATACTCCGCTTGCTGATGAAACATCGATCCATTTGGCTATGTTTCCGTCCGGTAATTCAACAGTTTGCCAGGGAAAATCACGATTTTTATAGGTAAATGATCTATAAATGGGCCGTTTTCCATAGCTACTTGCATTACCAGAAAAACAGAAGACGTCACCGTTCAAAATCAGGTGGCAGCAAATAAAAAAAAATATATATATATATGGTATAATATGGTATAATATGGTATATATGGTATAATATGGTATAATATGGTATAATATGGTATAATATGGTATAACATCCATTAACATCCTATATGTCGAATGGAAACAAACCGTGTCCATGACATCAATAGTTACAGTTCGTTCCCATGTCCAGGTTGGCCCACGAATGACGGCACCCTGGGGTGCAGAAAGATCTGCAGCCATGAAAAAATTCAATGGTCTCAAACATGTTTGTGGACTATACCAACCTCTGGCTATTTAACATAGAGGAAAATTGTCCATTTATAGAGGATAAACGATGATTTACCTATCCAACATGGTGATTTTCCAGTTCCTACGTTAAATAACCAAACGCTAACCAATTAATATAGGGGAATATCTTAAATTCCAACCGGGGAATCCCGTTCAAAAAACCAACCAGTTGAAATGACAGAGGGCTACACTGAACACTGATCTCTGGTGAATATCATATCTGGTTGGTGGTTTCCACCCCTCTGAAAAATATGAAAGTCAATGGGAAGGATTATCCCATATATTATGGACAAATAATCCAAATGTTTGAAACCACCAACCAGATAAAGCAAAATCGGGGATGACTATACATGGTATATGACGTCAGTTGGATTTTCATGAATTAAACAACTATGGCTTATTAGAAGTATCATGTGATTCCTGGATGAATACCCTCTGGTAAACTAACATAACTATGGAAAATCACAATTTTTAATGGGAAAATCCACTATAACTGGCCATTTTCAATAGCTATGTTAAATTACCAGAGGGTAAACCATGGTTCATCAATTGGGTGGGTTAATCCCCAAAACAAGATGATCCGATAATATCTGACAGATATCTGATACTTCCATGCTACATCCCGATTGAACTGCCCTTTGGATTGTATGATATTTTATCAAGGTTTTATGGCTAAATCCATATGTCTGTCCCATGAAAAAATCTCATTCGTATCCTCTGGTAATTTGTTACATAGCTATTGAAAATGGCCCAAAATTCCAAGATGGTGAATCTTTCCATAGTTATGTGAAAGTTTACCAGGCCGGGTATCCGGGTATCCTCATTAAACATCATTAAATGGTGATCTTCCCTATCAATGGATTGGTCACAGGAGAATCTTAAGGCTTTGATTACCACGGGCTGTTCCCATCAAGATCAATGGGGTTTTCTGGTGTCAAACAAAAAACCGTGACCAATCCAATGATATCACCATTTTAAAGGGTAAATCCATATTTATCATGTTAAATTTATGTTAAATGGTATGTTAAATTTGTGATTTCTTCGGTGGTATGAGGATAAGAATGGAATTTGTCTCAAAAAAAAAACATGTTAAATTCCATTCTTATCCTCATACCAAAAAAAAGAAATCATATAAATGACGATGTTCACCCTATGAGATTTTAACCATGACAAATCATATACGATATATATATAATATACGATATATATATAATATATATATAATATGTCTATATCATCATCATATAAATCCTCATGAAACCATAATATCACCATAGGAGACTGGGCAAAAATCTACCTCCAATCGTCGCCAGATCTGTCCAAGGCGCATCCGGGAATTTGGCTTCCACCTTCCTCGGGAGAAAAACGGAGTAGCACTACTGGGTGGGACTCAGCATCTAATTAGTGAAGATGGACCAAACATTATATGAGTTTATACTGTATAATATATATATATTATCCTGTATAATATATATATATATAATATGACAAATGTATGTATGTATATTATATTATATTATATTATATTATATTATATTATATTATATTATATATTATATATATTATATATTATATATTATATATTATATATTATATAGTATATATTATATATTATATTATATTAGATTATATTATATTATATCATATCATATTATATTATATATTATATTATATTAGATTATATTAGATTATATTAATATATGTATATTAATCATATCCACTTTTGTTACATGCCAATGTTTTACAAGCCGTCTCGAGACGGTCCTTCGTCTCTTGTTTCAACCTTTTGTCGAAGTCCCAGCGACTGGCCCTTTTTGAACTTCTTCATCTGCTTCACAACGTTGTCAATCAACACCTCCAGGGCCCATGTACTGTTCACATCTATGGTGATACGGTAGGTAGGTTGCCATTTTTCATATTTTTCATGGCTCGGCACCATAGATACTGGAAGCTAAGGAGATCAAGAGGTCAGCTGTTTGTCTCTCCCTTGTGGCTATAGGGTGCAACCCTGATGGGTGATTCAACCCTGATGGTGCCAGTGGTTTTTCATTCAACCCGCCCATCGTTTGGAAAAACGACAAACGATTGAGAAAACTCACAAAAGACACCCGCAAAAAGATAGAAAAAGTGTTTCCAGGATGATATAAAATGATGTTTCTCCAGCTGTTCCCAATGTTTTTTGTTTTTCGGTGCTATAACATGTTTCAAAATAAGGAAAAAAACAGCCTCAGTAGGTAGGATGATCCAACTGAAGATAAGTAAGAGCCCTGTCCCTTGATATATGCCGTATACGCCGTATACGTTGGAGCTATGAGCTGTGGCAACCAATTGTAGTTGGCAAGCGTGTTTTCTTTGTTTTGAGTAATTAACAAAGGAAACATACAGCAATTTCCAATGATGTACTCACCACACATGGATTGACATATGTTCAATAAAACACATATTTACTCTAATTTCTCTGATTTATGGTGATGTTCTCTCTTTTCAGCCAAGAAATGTAGCCATGTAATGTACACATGGATGAGCCATCATCATCGGTGAAAAGAACACATACAAAATATGATGTTGTTGATTCATGTGAGTGGTCATTTTTGAGCTGTATTTCTATCAGCCTGTGTTTGCCCCAAACCCATGTATCAATCGATGTCATCGATTGCTGTAATGTTTTCATTTAGCTCTCGCTGCTATTACATCGACAAACACATCTCGGTATTCATGGGGTGTATCTTACGATAGACACCCAAAGTTTGTGACCATTTCTATACAAGGTAGTGCACCAGTTTGTTAGTTTGCTGGGGCCCTAGTGGGGCTCCGGTAACACAGAGGTACTAAAATCATTCAAACTATGATATATCTGCATATATGTGTTTTTTTTTGGTTTATAAAGCAAGTATATAGCATAGTTTGGGGGGACCCGCTTGTATCATTGACCATACAACTGGTTGTGCACCAAATGGCTTAACCCATCAGCAACTCCAGTCACCTGTTGCCCTGACGTCTTCAATGAGCTTCATTCATCCCAAGAACGACATGAACCTTTCCTGTATTCTTGTTTTGCATAGCACATCCTATCACGCAGAGTACACCTTTTAGATCCTTTTAGACCGTATAGAATCCAGCTCCCACGAACAACCGTCTACCCATGCGTTGCCCCATCATCAGCAAACATAACTGTAAACCACAAAAAAATGTTCCAACAAACGGCACGCTTTTTCAGCTTGGGGTACCAACGGGCCCCCATCATTTCACTACTAAACATTGTTTTTTTCAGTCGGGATCCAACCCCACAAGGTTAAACCATACTTTGACCTATCATCTAATATCAAGTCGTCATATTCCAATATAAAAACCAGTGTTCTTGTTGCGAAAATGTCATATCCGCTTGTTTGTTGTTTGGTCCACCGAAAAACGTAACCCCATTTTTGAGGCCCAACAATATGCCACTTGGACATCCATCCTGTTGCCTCCTCCTCGCTCTCGTCTTCGATGTACTGCACCGTGACGTAGCCTACGCTATCTGTTTAACTCGTTGGCTATGGAAGTCAGCCACCAATTTGTGTACTTTATGGTGATTTTAAACCAAACTAGCTGGGATTGAAATGGATGTTTTTAACCCAACGAAATATGGCGATATGATGTAACATGGTAAAGATCCATCCATATTTGTTATTCTGCTCTGTCTTCAGCGCCGGGTTGAGAAGGTGGTTTTTGGTGATAACCCCACCGTGTACCGCTTTTAGGTTGGTTCAATGAATTCATTGATTAGGTTCCTATTGGTTTATAACTGGCTTACCTAGGCTAGAAGAAAGTGAATAATATCAATCTATATAGTCAGACGTGTGAATATTAAACCAACTTTAAACCAAGGGAATTTTGGATGACTGCGCATTGCTGTTCTATTTTCTATTCCACGAAAACCATCATTTGGATATTCATTCAATGGATTGATTTTGTTAGGACAATCTACACCGGAAACCATCGAAATTTTCCCATTATATAAATATGGGGGTTTTCCGGTGAAAATTTTCCCGACTAAACCAATCCATTGATTCCTGCCCCGTATTCATCCAGTCATTTGGTCGGCGTTTTTGAGGGGCCTGGAAAGCCGTTGCGGAAAGTGAGCCATCGAAATTGCGAACTACCCGAAATGGTGAACATACCAACAAACGAACTGGAAAGATCCACCATTTAGCTGGGTAAACTCACTATTTCATTGGCCATGTTCAATAGCTAATTATGTTAGTTTTTCCGGAGGGTTTTCTGTCTTAGCTCAGTGAAACCATCACACTTTTACAGCAAACCATCGCCGGTGACTGCGACACCAAGGTGGCACACGTTGCAAACGATACGGCTCCGGTGTCATCAAACGGTGGCAAGTGGAACTCCGCTTTAGGTGTTAATACATGTTAATACCTTTTTCTAATGGGAAAATCAAGGCAACTCATCTTTAAATGAGAGATGTCCGGCCACGGAAACCATGTCCGGTGGATATGTCAATGCTAAACCAAAGTGGCGCTCAATTTTCGTTGGTTAGTGTTCTAAAAAGTCTTCGTTGACAGGTGTCACCAAAAGTTCAGCATCCATCATGAATCCATCATAATCGCCATAAATGGTTGGTATAAACCATTCCCAAACTTTAAATGGCTAGTTTATGATTGATTCAACCACATGAAATCCTATGTTTATTCAACTTCATCTCACCTGTCACCCGGACCTTCGCCCTTGTTCTCCTGAACCAGAGCAGTGTATCTCCTACCATCCTGCCATGTCGATGCGGGAAGTCGTCACCAAGTTCTGCCACAAATGGCTTGGAACCAGAAAACAATAGCAAAAATAATGTAATCTATCGCATAGTAGATCATATTGACAATTTGTTTCTATGTATATTGAATTCATTGTGCCTATTGTCTTCAATTCTATGTATGATTGTAACATTGTAACATTGTGTAGGTCACAATGTGTCTTTACATGCCGAAATTGCCGGCTTCTCTCAGCACAGCCAAAAACTCTGTGATGTCAACCCGGGATATGAAGCCCTGGTGCTTTTATCTGGGACAGTACCACGTATAATGCTGATAAAACAATCATAAATCACCCCAATTTCACCATAAATAGATGGTATAAACCATTCCCAAATGGGTGGTTTATTATTGTTTTTCCCACTTAGAAAGTTAGAATGATTATAATTTCGGGGACCCTCCTATTCAAGTAGACATAATTTCAGGTAGACACTTGTCTTAGCCATTGCTTCTCCCCTTTGGAATTTCGAGGATGGTATAGATCTGCAGATAGATGACATTTACCTCATATGTTCATATATATGTTCAGGTTTCCAGCGTTTCAAAACCACTATGGCAAGCTTTCTACTGGTTGGTGGTTTGAACCCCTCTGAAAATATGAAAGTCAGTTGGAATGATGATTCCCAATATATGGAAAAAACATGTTCCAAACCACCAACCAGTCTATCTTTCTTTCAATGCTACATCAGCTTGATGTGACCAAGCTTTAGCGCGAACAAAACCTGGCGCTTCGTTTCATCTCGAAAAATTAGAAACCCATTTAATGCGGGTAAAACAATGCCATAAACCACCCATTAATGGTAGAAATACAACCTATTTATGGTGGTTTATTGTTGTTTTAACCACATTCATGGGTTTCTGCGAAAGTTCACGTGAAATCGTGTGAAAACATGATTGCGAAAGTTCAGTTGATTGTTTGGTCCATTTACTAAATGGCCATCTTGTGATTTTTTGCTCGGTTTTTAGACATCACAAATTCTATGAATTATTGTGATTGCCCAATTTCTAGACCAAATCCGCCTCGCTGGCCATCTAAATTTATGGAATTCCACAGCTTTCCACAGCAAGCCCCGCGCGGGTTCCCCGCGACAGCTTTCCGTCCTCCGCACATTTGGCCAACACCAAATCTCCCTTTTTGAAGTCCTTCAATTGTGGCCTCAATTCCGATTTGGGCCATGCGTCTTCTTCGTTGAGGATTGACAGCAACTGGTTTTTAAAAATAGGACTTTGAGTGCTTTATAAATCCCATATGCGAACCATGGTGCTGGTATATAAAAACCTACAAAACTGGGTGATTTTGGACAAGGGCAAATGTAGGGATTCATATACCAGCACCATGGTTCGCATATGGGAATTGATCATCGAGTTACTAACGGATTTTTATGAAAGGGACCCCATGGACCCCAGGTTCGGAATTCGAACATGCCCATAAACTATAACAGTTTGCTATTGAAAATGGCCATGTTATAGTGAGTTTTCCCATTAAAGATGGTGGATCTTTCCAGTTCGTTTTTTGTGGGTCTGTGGGTTCCAAAAAGTCATCGGTGAATCATCATGAATTCTCTCATTCAGAAATGCCAAACATGGCGGGTTGGTACGGCAATTTCAATGGATATTGTGGGTAGGGGTTCATATGTTCAGTAGGTACCAGTAGGTCATAGCCCCAACACTGGCGCAACACCTATTTTTGCGACCACCAATCTGAAGCCAAATGACAGCTGGTTAATGCTGGTTATCCTGATGATCAGTGCTACGAAAACCGCCACGTCTACTAATGTATGTGGTGAACGGTGGTGTCCCCTACTTGGTAAAATTGGTGTATAAGTAAGTGAAGTAGGGTTTATTGTAAATATATCGAACTAGTATGAACATGTAGTATGAACTAGCTATGTAGCTTTACAAACCAACAAACATTGCACGGGCCATCACAAATTGTGCCATGAAAAAGGATATTTTGTGATGCCGTTGCCCCCAGCATTCCTCTGAAATGCACGGGCCGTGGAGTATCGAATTTTTGAATTAAAACATATCCCAGCAAACAACCCATGACTAGCGTTTTTTTTTGTGTCAGATTCACTCCAAAACCAACAAACAACCGCATCAAAAAATCTGCGTAAAATCCCTCAGTCTTGACACATTTGGGGATGGTTCCCTTACACAAAGCATCAGATGTGAGATCGTTGTGACCTCTTGGGTTTACGCATTGTATCCCCATTATAATCAATATATGCCCATTCGGAAACCCCATGAAACCCCATTTTATATCATTTTATATCCACGTGATATCTCCAATGTTTCATCATTTCAGTCCCCATGAAAATCCCCCAAGTCCGATATTTCAATGGCCATGACTCAGGATCCGATTGATTGGAGGTACCGATTCCATATATAAGGCCTAAATTTCAGGGAATATCCCCACAAAATATGGCCAAACATATGGTACGTTTACGTACCTCCATTTTAGGATCCTGAAGATCTCCCATTGATTATTATATACCAATGATTAACCATCATTAACCATCATTAACCACTATTAACCACTATTAACCAATATTGAATATTGGATTATTTCAGTAAAACAGCCATGGTGACTATAGGGGATCATGTCAAGAATCCCCCAAAAAATATGGTTGATGCTATAAACAGCTATAAACCTCCATTGATAGCGCATGTTCCTATAATATGTTCAATTGAACTTCCATTGTAATCCCATTATAATATGCCATATCACCATCTTTCACAATCAGAAAAAACTTTTTATTTCCCATTGAAAAATCCCATTCATATACCATTTCATTGCCCCATTCACAATGAGTTACCCTCTGGTAAACTAACATAGCTATTGAAAATGGCCATTGAAATAGTGGATTGTCCCATTCAAAATGGTGATTTTCTATAGTTTTTTGTATGTTTACCAGAGGGTAAACCATCCGATATTAGGCCATCCCCATCCGATATGGCCATCCTTCGCGCCGAGTCGCTTCAGATCTTCCAAGTTTGCCGTGTCTTCGGCTTCATCCTCCAACCACACGATGTCGAAGCTCCCGTCGCCGTTGTCCTTCTTCAGCTTCACCTTGGAGGGCCAAACGGTGCCCAAAACGGTGCCAGCAAAATAAAAAAAGGTCACCCTTAAGGCTGGTGCCCCCAAATGATGAATGATGATGTTTGATGATTCTTAATGATTTTAAATAGCAATTTCAGAACTTGCCGGGTTTTTGGATGTTTAATGATGATGATGGTCGATGATGGTCGATGCTCGACTAACATTACTGGGATGCTACATTCTGCGTTCCAAACGTCACCGTCTTACAACTGGGGGGGTGCACCAGCTTGTCTGTCTGGTCCCATGATCTTAGCGTCGAGTTACATGGGATTTAACCAACAATATACAGGATGGGGGCCCCAGTCGATCGCGTTCAGTTGCCGCAAATAAGTGGCTGAATTCCATGGTTTATGATATAACGAACTACGGTGGATGGCTGCCAAATCCTGCACCAGTTGATAGGTGGTAAACATCCCATTATTTATAGGGTTTCTTCCCCATCCTTTTTTGGTGATGCAGGATTTCGCTGGCCCATCCACAGTAGTTTTCATGGATATAACATCATATAACTATATGGTAAAGTGTATCTACACAAGACCATACCCCATGACGGATCCATGGTGCTGCTATATATGGTGCTCCATGGATCCCATCAACAAAAAACCCCCCTTTATGTTAACATTAATATACAAGCGCACCATGGATCCGTCATGGGTACTATTATATCTTATTATACCCTACCATGCCACATAGATGGTTATTAACAGATTTCATGGTATATTGATGGTTAATCCTATGGTATATATGATGGTACAGATTTCACAAGAACCATGAAACCATGAAAATCCTATGGGTACTATCCTCTGGTTATTGGTTTCATGGTTTCTCTTAACCAACCGTCCACACGGGGGCCCATGAAGTTATCGCAGGGAAATCCGACTGGGAGTTTCTCCGTTTGTCCAAGTCTGGGGTTTATGTAGCACATGAATCAGCCATTTTTTCGGGTAAAACAATGCCATAAAACACATAACTTCAATGGATTGGTTTAAGGGAAAATTTTAACCGGAAACCCCCATATGAATAATGGGAAAATCTATGGTTTCCTCTTAATTTTTCCTTAAACCAATCCATTGATAAATCCAAGTAACTATAGGGTTTATGGTAGATATAAGATATATCTATATAATTACTATGGATCAATGTGGTAAAACAATTCCATTTTTACCACCCATGACTGGGAATGGGAATTTTATACCACCTATAAACATGGTGATGACTGGGGGATGGTTTATGATTGTTTACCCACATGAGTCATTCGAAATATCATGAAATATCCATGGTTTTTTTTGTCAGAAAAACAGAGTTTCACAAACTCCGAGAATTTCGAATTTCGAAAAACCACTTAAACCACCGGTATCTCCCGGTTCGTGCGCTTTCACGAACCCCGCGTTCGCCCAGGAAAGGGGCGCTGTAGTAGCGGCCATCGTCGTGGAATTTGGCCAGGGCCAGTTGCCCTGCCTGCGATTGACTCCCCGAATCCGGCCGGCAGGGCCAGGGGTGCCAGGGTTTAGAGCTGGGAAAAACCATGGGTTTTAACCATAGGAAAATGGTGATTAGTAATGGTTAATAGTGGTTAATTGTTTTTCCTATGGTTAATCATCATTAATTAACCATCATTAACCATAATTAACCTTGATTAGTAATGGTTAATAGTGGTTCATAATGGTTAATGATGGTTAATCATTGGTTAAACAAATGGCTGGTTGGTGGTTGAGCCACCCCGGCCCCGAAAAATGATGGACTGATATGGACTGAGTGAGTAACAGTTGGGATGAGATGATATTCCCAATTTTTGTGGAGAAAATCGAACATGTTCCAGTCACCACCAACCAGCTATACCCCACAACTTGTTGCCTCTGTTATTCACTGGTTGCTTCAGTTGCTTCAGTTGCTTCTCTCTGTAACCAGAACCATGCAGAGACCACCGAACTTAAAGACCAACTCGATTAGTTTAGACTTTAGACATCCTCTCAGAGAATAGCCTCAGCATCTTCAGGTTTTCCTGATACATTTTGGTGCAGTTCTGTCCTACATCTCTTTCAAGAGTAGCACCTGCCATCAATGATCACTTGAGGCTTTCTGCGGTAGACCAGATGCCTCCATTGCTCATGCTCTCCCATCTTGGGAATATCAACAAATACATTGGAATATTTTTACAAACAAACAAATAGGATCTGCATAAATCTTAAGAAATCACTAAGCTCACTCAAGTTTCAGTTGGAGATAGTTACCCCCGATCCTCGAGTCCAGTCCAATCACCGCTGCTTTCACCGGGCCCTCGCCTTGTATTCCGCGGGGCCGGTCTTTTTTTGCGCCGCCTTCGGTGGCGGACTGGGTGCCTCCTGCGGCTGGGAGCTGGGACAAAAAACGTTGGCTAAGTTGGTTGACACCTTTTTCAGTTCAACCAACTTTCCCAACAAAAATATGAATGGGATACCCTCTGGTAATTTAACATAACTATGGAAAATCACCATTTTTTATGGGAAAACTCACTATAAATCAGCATTTTTAATGGATAACGGTTAAAAAAACATGGATCATCCTGAGAACATAAAAATAAGTTGCTTATAGTTGGTGATCCCCCAAGTACTGAACAATATCTCCAACCATGAATTACTTTCACAACCATGTTACTAAAAATTAATGGGACTCCAACTACAGTAGCCCATTTTTTCATAGAAATTTTGCTGGGACTTTACCTCTACAATAGCCTCTGGTATGGTTGGATTTCTACGCTTGAATAGGCTGGAAATATCTGGCTATATCCTACGGTGTCAATCATGGCAGTTTCTCGGAACCCCACCAAAATGCAACCGGGCAATGTTTTTTTTGCCTGGCAATGTTTCAGAAAACAAAGTTGTAAGCCTTTATGTACATTCTTGTCATATGTATTCGTAGATACCAGTGTGTATATATATATGATATATATATATATATACATGAATATATGATTACAACATGGTGGAAATCACAGTTAAAGCTGGAAAAGAAAACAGCAAGCATGGGAATCCAAGTAACAATAATGAGATGTCAACATGAAACAGTTTGGACATACCCACTAGTAAATGTACGTATGTATTAATGGTAGGTGTGTTATATCTATGCTTATTGACCGGAGGGTTTTCCTACTTTTTTTAATCCCCGCAGAACCAGTGATATGTATACATACCCTCTGGTTATGTCCAAATAGCTATTGAAAATGGCCCAGTCGAAATAGTTGATTTACCCATTAAACATGGTGGATCTTTCCAAATACTTATGTAACAGTTGACCAGAGGGTATATATATATATATATTATATACATATAGATAGACAATTGAATATTATGCATATATATATATATGTACATATATATATATACATACAATCCCATAGGATCCATGGTGCTGGTATATATACTAACATAAAGGGGGTATATTGATGGTATCCATGGAGCACCATATATAGCAGCACCATGGATCCATTTTCACCAAGGTCACGATGGATGAAACCCACGAAAAAAGTAGCCTGGTAAACCATCTATAAATGGTTAATCTATGGTTAATCTATGGTTAATCTATGGTTAATCTATGGTTAATCTATGGTTAATGGTTAATAGTTACCCGGCCTGGTAAAGATACAAAAAACGAACTGGAAAATGGCCCAGTCGAAATAGTTGTTTTTTTTTGCATTGAACATGGTGGATCTTTCTAGTTCGTTATGTTGCTGTTTACCAGAGGGTACTCTGTTGATATACACCATACCATTGGGAACATATCCCATGTTTTGGTTCTAGTATTCCATCTAAATCATCTAAATCCCAATTCTGCGTTCACTGGCAATCTAACATGGATGTGGAACATCACCTTTAATAGGTAAATCATCTATATGCGCCATGTTTCATAGCTATATTAAAATTACCAGAGGGTAACCACTCAAAATTGAAAAAGAATATATATATATATAGAGATATATGAAGTGACACTGCTTATACTGCTTATATATACCGAATTCCATGCAATTTCGCGCATGTTTTAAAAACTCCCCCGGAGACACTTACCGGTGACACCAGAGGTACGAGTACCTCCTCCTCCACTTCATCGTCTTCCTGGCCGAGCCAGGCAGCCAATCGCTCGCGATGTTTGCATCGTTTTTTTTTGAACTTCAAATGGCCATAATGATTATTAACCATAGATTAACCATAGATTAACCATAGATTAACCATAGATACACCATAGATACAACTAACCATAGATAACTTCAATCGTTTTCCATTGATATCCAATTATTATGGCCATTGATATCCAATTATTATGTTTCCATAATGAATATTGATATTTTCCATTGGTATCCAATACCCATAGGATCCATGGTGCTGCTATATATGGTGCTCCATGGATCCCATCAATATACCCCCTTTATGTTAGCATATATACCAGCACCATGGATCCGTCATGGGTAATGATGGCAAAACCTAGTACGAGTAGTACGGAATATTGATATTTTCCATTGATATCCCATGGATTAGCAAGAGATTGAACACGGAGAATAAACTAAATATAGTAAATTAATAAATGGAGAACAAAAACCTATCAGTTATTTCATGTATACAATCGTTAAAACGCTGATAGTCCGCTGATAGCAAGAAATTGGAGAAATAAACTAATGTCTGGTAATCTAACTTTAAACGGCACTTAGCTCCTTTCATATCAACTTGATTTAATCGCGCTGTTTTCCCTTTTATTTGCTGCGGTTTCTCAGACAAACCATGATATCCCAATAGAGGAACATCCTGGATTATATCGTAATTCACCAACCTAAAAAAAGGCAATTTGAAGTTCATAAAAACATATGGAAGAGTCATAAATACCCCAAATAAATGAACCAACCAAGCAGCATCTCTCCAACAAATAATAACAAATAATATAAGATATGATTTTATATCACTACTATTAATCCAGAATAGAGTCTGACTTCCTTTTTAAATTCAAACAGGTCCAACAAATCTTGGTATATCACCCCCTCCAAAAACTCTCTGGATTACCCGATTACGCGAATTTCACTGGCCGCGAAGGGGAAGACCACCATGGCTTTACCAGTTGAATCAATAAACAACACCAGGTAAATCTACTATCTAGTGGGAAAAACATAAAATTAAATTGCCATTAATACATACATGTATATATATATATACGTATGTATATATCATTGAAAACAAATGTATAAAAATAGGCCATCATGTAAAAACATATGGGTATATTATGTGTATATATATATTATCCTCCCATATAATCCCATGTAATTCCATATACATATGATTATATATGATTATATTGATTATATATATATATATCCATATATATATACATACCAGGATATCCTTAAAGGGTGGCGCTACGTTTTCGAACGCTGGTGTTTTGCTCTACGGGGTGCCCTGGCCGAGCCGCCAGCAATGTAGTCCTCCAGCTTCGATTTCTGTGGTAAAAACACATCGTAGTGGTGTGAAAACCGTAGGAAAACCATGGGAAAACCATAGGAAAATGGTGATTAGTAATGGTTCATAGTGGTTAATAGTGGTTAATAGTGGTTAATAGTGGTTAATAGTGGTTAATAGTGGTTAATAGTGGTTAATAGTGGTTAATCATTGGTTAATCATTGGTTAATAATAATACTGGTTGGTGGTTTCAACCTACCCCTATGAAAAATGATGGACTGAAAGTCAGTTGGGATGATTTTCCATTCCCAATCTATGGAAAGTCATAATCCATTCATGTTCCAAACCACCAACCAGATATGTTTTATCCAAATCACACTGGCATCTCCTTAAGCAGCTCAGCGGCCTCCACGACCAGACCAGCCTCGCAGCCTCTTTTTGGAGCTCAGGGACGCCAGTGACTGCCAGTGGCTTGGTATAGGGAGCACAGGGCCAGTGGCCACGTCTTCGAGTTAGAGAGCCTGCAAAAAACCACCTCACACAGTTTTCGTCCGCTGATTTTCCACGTGAAACCATTGACCCCTGCATCGTCAGTGACGCAACGCTTCAGAGGGAAAGAACTGCCATGGCACCCTCGTGGCACCGTGGTGGCCAGGGTGCCAGGGTGGTTCATCCCAAGTGCGGCACCCGTTGGAAGTTGATGGTATATAATATATATATATGGGTATCTATAGACATATTATCCTCCCATTTAATTAATTCCATATATACATATCATATATTATATATATATGGGATAGAGACTATAGACCACTATTTAACCAGTTTAACCATATATTTAATTTAACTATATCTGGTTGGTGGTTTCAAGCCCTCTGAAAAAATATGTAAGTCAGTTGGGATGATTATTCCCAATATATGGAAAAATAAAAAATGTTCCAAACCACCAACCAGTATATATAACTCTGGAAAATCACCATTTATAGTGGATTTACCCATTTAAAATGGTGGATCTTTCCAGTTCGTTATGTAACAGTTTACCAGAGGGTACGTACCTGTTAAGATAGAAAAATCACCATCTTTAGTAGGTAAATCAACTATCAACCAGATATATCTTTATTTCCTATGGTTTTCTTATGGTTTTCCTATGGTTTTCTTATGGTTTTCCTATGGTTTTCCTATGGTTTTCCTATGGTTTTCCTATGGTTTTCCTATGGTTTTCCTATGGTTTTCCTATGGTTTTCCTGTGGTTTTCCTATGGTTTTCTTATGGTTTTCCTATGGTTTTCTTATGGTTTTCCTATGGTTGTCCTATGGTTTTCCTATGGTTGTCCTATGGTTTTCCTATGGTTTTCCTATGGTTTTCCTATGGTTGTCCTATGGTTTTCCTATGGTTGTCCTATGGTTTTCCTATGGTTTTCTTATGGTTTTCCTATGGTTTTCCTATGGTTGTCCTATGGTTTTCCTATGGTTTTCCTATGGTTGTCCTATGGTTGTCCTATGGTTTTCCTATGGTTTTCCTATGGTTGTCCTATGGTTTTCCTATGGTTTTCCTATGGTTGTCCTATGGTTGTCCTATGGTTTTCCTATGGTTGTCCTATGGTTTTCCTATGGTTTTCCTATGGTTTTCCTATGGTTTTCCTATGGTTTAAGATAGAAAACGTTCCAACACTTCGGCACCTCAACGTCGACAACGTCGCCGTCGCTCTCCTCTAGGCGGGCCACGAGCTCGGCCTGAATCGAAGTCCCCGGCTACGAGCGGCCGTTGAACGCTGGGTTTCTGGCCTGGAAATATGGAGGAAACCCATGAATGTTATATGATGTTTATATGTGTTTAATGGGTAAATCCACTATAAATGGTGAATGTTATATATGATATTTAAATAGATGTATAATATGATATTTAATGTTATATGAATGTTAAATATGGAGGATAGATGATATTTAAATAGATGTATAATGTTTAATAGAACCAATTATCCATTATCATTTACCCTCCAGTAAATTCACATAGACCCTGGCAGTCATCGGGTTTGGAAGACTACTGAAACCACTATAAATTGGTCATTTTCAGGGTCGAACTGTTAATTTGCCAGAGGGTATATGATGTTTATATAGATATGATATGTTTTCTAGCTGGGTAAATCAACTATTTCGACTGGGCCATGTTTTTCATAGTTTTTCTGGTTGGTGGTTAAAAAACAATCTTTAAAAATGATGCAGTTCGTCAATGGGAAGGATGACATCCCTTTTTTATTATGGAACATAATCCATTCATGTTTGAAACCACCAACCAGGATATGATGTTTATATGGATATGATATGTTTTTTTTTGCTTATGCGTTTTTTGTATATATGTAGTCTTTATATATGTTTATATATGTTTTTAATATGGTTTTGGTAGGGATTTCCATGCGTGAAATTTTGCTCAGAACTCTCGCCTTGAGGCCGCCGACTTTCAGGCCTCGCTCCTTTAGCAAAGCTTTCAGCTCCCCGACCTGGCGATTGCCACGGTAGCACCGCAGTTGACCGTGAAAGCACGGCTTTGAATGGGACCAAACACTTGGAAAAAATGGACGGAAAACCATTGGAAAACAAATCATGGGAAAACAACAACCATTGGGAAAATGGGAAAAACGCATTGGACATGGAAAAACGTATGGACCGTATGGAAACAAAAACCAGCTATGTACTTAAATCGATGGCTTTTCCAAATCAATGTACCCTCTGGTAATTTAACATAGCTATTGAAAATGGCCCAGTCGAACTAGTGGATTTACCCAGCTAGAAAATGGTGGATTTTTCCATAGCAAACTGTTAGTTTACCAGAGGGTAAACGTTTACAGGAGGGCATGGCCAAAAGTTGAAAAAAACGTATGGAAAATCGATGGAAAAATCATGAGGTCAATCTTAAGGATGTATCAATTCCATTATTGTTGCAGACCATGATGGGGGGAATTCCTCAGAATGGCTTTTGGTGAAGTCTCAGCTTCATGGAGGTATAAGGTGGTGCAATCCCAGCTGTTGGTTTATAAATTCCATGAACTTAATTATGGTTAATAGTGCTTAATTCCATGACTCGTTAGGAACTGATGATATGAAAACCATAGGAAAACCATAGGAAAATAGTGATTAGTAATGATTAATAGTGGTTAATAGTGGTTAATGATGGTTAATAATTGGTGGATTATGGCTGCTTGGTGGTTGAGCCAATCCCTCTGAAAAATCATGGAGTGAGTTCGCCAGTTGGGATGATTTTCCTTCCATTCCCAACTGAATGGAAAGTCATAAAACATCTTCCAGTCACCACCAAGCAGATGATGATTAATGGGGATTAATGAGGATTAATAGTGGATTAATGGGGATTAATATGGATTAAAACATCTTCCAGTCACCACCAAGCAGACTAGTTTGATATATGGGTTTGTCTGAAAATAGGGTATATTCCCAATGAAATAGCCATTTAATAGGGATAATGATCATTAACCATTGGGTACAATGGGGTACACTATTTTCAGACACACCCATATGTATCATAAAGCCAAGTGAAATTGAAGTGATGTTTACCGACTTAACGAACTGAGATTTAAATGGCACCACATGGCGCCAGCATGGCGCCAGCATGGCGCCAGCATGTATAAATGATTGGATTTAACCAAGAAAAAGCAAGATCAAAATAAGTTGATGGGTCAAAATGGTTTTGTTTGTCTAAAATGATTATTGATTGGATTTAACAAAGAAACATCGATGAATCAACCAAGAAAAGGGTAGTGAATTAATCAGCAAGAGAGGTTTAACCAGTAAGAATATGGATGTGCCATGGCCAACTATATACAAGTATACCTAATAAGAATTCATACTAGATATATACACATATAATCTGGTTGGTGGTTTAACCATCTTGAAAAATATGAGTTCGTCAATGGGAAGGATGACATCCCTTATATTATGGAAAATAATCCAAATGTTTGAAACCACCAACCAGATATCTCATTGACCATTATTAACCACCATTAACCATCATTAACCACCATTATCCACCATTAACCACTGTAATAATAGATATACCAAGTATACGTAAGAATTAATAATATATATATATATTAACTATCATTATCCACTATTAACCACTATGATCCCATTATCATCCCTAAAAAAAAAACATTAGGGATTATAACAATCCAATAATATACCATATATACACATATAATTCTGCCTAAGATCCATATCTGGACGTCACCCGCATTCCGAGTGACCTTCTCCGGACGAAAAACCAGGCCTTCATGTCGGAGTAGGCCTCCAGGGCCATGCGACCGCGGCCGAACGGACACGCCACCTGCGCCACGGGATCAATGGATTGATTGGGATCAATGGATCACCGGTTTTACCATGGTGGTTTTACAGGTTTTTACCAAAGATATAGGGGTTTCCAGTTAAATTTCATGGTGGTTAATAGTGGTTAACAGTGGTTAATGATGGTTAATCCTTGGTTCATTATGGCTGGTTGGTGGTTGAGCCACCTACCCCTCTGAAAAATGATGGACTGAAAGTCAGTTGGGATGATGACATTCCCAACTGAATGGAAAAATAGAATTCATGTTCCAAACCACCAATCAGAATATGTTTAGGGGTTTCCGCTTAAAATGTTCCCATCATCCAATTCTGTGAGACTAACAACCAAAACAATCAGGTTTAATCTGATCGGTTTAATCCAAAAAAAATGAAAGGGGGGGTTAAGCAAACATTGAATGGTCATAAACGGGCTGCAGAATGATTACTACATTTGTTCTTTCTATTTGATCTAGCTGAGAGGTTCCTAGCTATGACCCAATCATTAATTCCATCATTATGATTGCATAATTTTGTGGATTCTAGAAACATATTTTCAATCAAAACAGTTATTCTGATTGTATTATCGAATTATCCCTGTTCCAAGACTTGGAGAATACTTAAAAAACCTCCGCAACCGCTTTCTATGGGCCTCAAGTCATGACTCAAATTCTAGACTTGTTGCCGTCGCTCAACGTTCCAAAAAAGGGAAGATCGTTGCGACCCTACTCCGGTGGGTAGGGTGATGACGTCCGTCTGCTGCTCTGGATACGGAAACCTCATAAACCCCAGAGCTTTTAACGCGGGAAAGGTCTGAAAAACAAGGTTATCTCACAATTTTTACCACAGAAATCGTGAATTTTCCCAAAATGGTGGATCTTTCCAGTTCGTTATGTAACAGTTTACCAGAGGGTAAGGCATTCCCAAACCTGGATTTATATCCCATATCCAAAATTACATCCCCATGATAATCACTGGTTGGTGGTATACCTACCCCTCTGAAAAATATGAGCTCGTCAGTTGGGATTATTATTCCCAATATATGGAAAGTCATAATCCATTCATGTTCCAAACCACCAAGCAGTTTTTGTCAAAAGATCCAAATATGTGTGGTTTCATCATTCTTTTAGCATATTTTCTTTCCCATGGAACCGATTGCCTGCCATCTTGACACAGCGCCCGCGAAGTTCAGAGAGGGCGTCACCGTGGCCCAAACAGCCACAGCCAACACCTGGGGAAACCAATGGTAAACCCCAAGAGAAACCAATGGTAAATATCGGAGAAAAAAACATAAAACAAAAAAAACACATACTTGTATATTGTTGATATAGGATATATATAATTGTAAATTGACAATGATAATGATGATCGGTTTTACTGGTATTGATTCATCTACTTAATAATGACTGTAGTAATGGTGAATGTTTGCAAATGACGCCAAGTTGCGATAGTTAATGGATGTTACCGGATGTTAATGGTGGTCTACAATGGTCAACAATGGTTCATCATAGTAAAAAAAAAGTGGTGAATAACAAAAGGCTCGATCAAAACCAACAATATGTCATTAAAGTCTTTGGGGGATGAACATCCATATTGATGTTCACCACGTGGTGGTACAGGGTTTTGAGTAACCCATTTAACTGGGTAAATTATAATAATTCACTAGCCTGAATTAAGGCCATGTGGGGATGATTCCCCTTACCAACTATGATTATAGTGAGGTCGCAGTGAGGTCGTTATAATTTATCCAGATTTAAGGAATTGTCTTGAAGTAGTGTAGTAAGTAGTATCTAGTAAAATCACTTCCCCGGATGTCATCACTTCCCTCAGGAAGAATTTTCGCAAAATTGTGACCGCTTAAAATGAATAGATTCGACACGAAGACTAACGGGGGGTACCGGGGCTATAAAATATTGGGGGGATGGGATTGATTGATTTGTGAAAAGGTATGCGAACCAACCCACTTTTGATATCTGTAAAAATCCTAAAGATCTGGATGGGTTGAAAATCGCCCACAAAAAACCGTATAGTAACCTTGGACTGGCGCATGTAAAAAACCACCAATCAAATGAGTAGACTGAGTAGACTTTCAAGCCTCAGCCTGTGTTGGTTCCTTCCCAGTTTGGGCTTAGTTCTCGCAGCATTTCTTGCTTCAGTCGCCACTCCCGTTGCTATTTTTTTCCCCAAAATCTGGGTGAGTCTCCTCACACGGCGAATTTCCAACTGCACCACGTTTTCCGTCACAACCTCTACCCTCTGGTAATTTAACATAGCTATTGAAAATGGCTATTTATAGTGGATTTTCCCATTAAAAATTGTGATTTTCCATAGCTATGTTAAATTACCAGAGGGTAAATGTGATGCGCCCCTCAGCCAAAGTTGACTTTTTAGGTTTATATACAATAAACTCATCCGTCATACACCAAGTTCACTTAATAGTCAGTGACTCAACCATCATAAACCACCCAAAAAAATCTAACCATCACAAATCATAAACCACCATAAACATTCATAAACATTCATAAACATTCATAAACCATCATGAAAAACACCAAACACTTTTTCAACCCCATCTCCAGCCCATCCCACCTTCCCCAGCAGAATTCTCGACCGCCGCCGGCCTGGCCCGTGGTAAACCCAAAAATCTCAATCTGGTTGGTGCTTGAAAAACCCTTCTGAAGAATATGACAGTCAATTGGTATTATTATTCCCATATATATTATATATATATATACAAAATATATTTATGATATATATATATATAATATATGCAGGTAGCGCCTTCTTCCTTTGGGGTATCAACCCGTTGCTGGCTTACAAGCCGGCGTTTTTCCCTTTCAAGTCTTGGAACCGTAGAAGTTTCCCCTCCACACTCGAAGTCCACTATGATGGCTAAGCAATCAACCCTAGGTCTAATGAGTGCGTCCGAGAGGCTCTATCTCCTTTTGATCCAAAGTACTGCATGATGTCACTAAGTGAGTGCCAAGTCAGTTGGGTGCGAACTTGATAAACCAACATCCCCGGGACCCCGCAGATTTTCCACGTCTTGGAAGTTTCTGGCCACTGGTTGATTGTTCTCCTTCTCATCTAATGGGTCTAATCCTTGTTTCTTTCGGTTCTTGGCGGACATCATCTTGGGGTCATCTACAATTTTCCAACACTGACCTAGATGATAGAAACGCTGAATCTGGTGATGTTCATGGTCCTTCGTCATGGAGTTTGCAAGCTGAGCATCACTGTTTACCCATCGAACTGGCAGTTTTGTATTCACTAGTGCTTCTTTGAGTCCTAGCATTTCCAATGCAACTCGATTTTCAGGTCCTTTTGGAACATAGATTTCCGTCTTCATCCGATCATACACATTTGTTGAGTCCGTCACTAAGACCCCGGCCACTTTGGACACCTGTCGCTCGGTGTCACGCACATGGACCTTGTTTCCGCTCATCTCATAGTACTGAAGGCGCACAGCGTACATGATGTCCTCGCAGTTTATCGCTGCTAGGCTCTCTGCTGCTCCTGGGGATCGGCATTGTCTGCCAATCTTTGACGAGCTCCAAGACACCGGTGACACCTTACATAGCTGTCCGGTCAGCAGACTTTTTGAGGTTATCCCTATGAAAATCCCCCGTGTGCTCTTTCCATCCACTCTGTTTTGTGCCGCTGCATCTGCCCAACCTGCTATCAGTGTGTCATGCATGCCTATGCCTCCATGTATGATGAGTTTGTGTTTCCTCTGGCATTTCGTCTTGTAGATCAGTTTGTTTGTCTCAATCAGCGTCTCAATAGTACTGCTATTTACCTGTGACAACAACAAACTCACCCCCGCTGCTATATGCGGGCATGTCTGTTGGGCACTCCATGCTAATGCCCCCAGCGCCGCCCGGAGGCGGGTTTTCTCCAAATCACTCGTCGCTGACTTCGGTTGTCGGCGCCTTTCTGCATTGATCTGGATCTCCTTTAAATCATCGATATACTGTGTTTGACCTAGAGAAAACCCCCCACATGGCAACCTTGAAATCTCCACTCTGCACTGAATGAAATTATCCTTTTCCCAAGTTCCCCACTTGAATCGCTCCTGAATCTTCTGGCACAACCGTTCCCATGTTTTACATCCTGACAACCCACAAAAAAGAAAATCGTCAACATGTCCTCCTACCAAACCAATAAGTATTCCATTCTCAACAAACTTGAAGCAACATGGGTCACAAACGCATTTCTCAAAACCAATTGACACCAAAAACTCCGACACCGTGAGGAACCACTCTAATGGTGCATCTACCAAACCGTAGCAGGCCTTCTTCAGCCGAGTCACTGATCCTGCAGGTATGCCCATGGCATCGCAGATGTCATCTGTGGGAATCACAAATGACTCCCCTTGATACTCTCGTCCCTGTAGGAATGCCCCTGAGACATCCCCTTTCCACACTCCAAAACCAAGGCTCGCTGACACGGCGAGCATGACCTGCCTTGAGGTCCTTGTCATTGTCGGTGAAGCTACTTGGCGGTGTTCGTACTGTGGGTCCATGTACCCCAAAATCACACATCTTGCCTTTGCCTTCTGTCCTCCTGCCTCGTCTCGTTTCCAGGTCAAAATCCATCTCATCCGCATTGCAGTCTGTTTGTCAGGCTGTAAATGGGTTGGGATGGCTTCCAGTGCTTTCGCGCTGATGAAGTTCTTGATCTCCACCTGCTTGGCCTCTGTCATTTTCTGTTTTTCCTCAGGATTCAAATATCTTTCGTTCACTTCAATGGCTCTTTTCCGGATTTGTGATGTCAGATATGATTCAAAATTATCTCCTAAATGTCTCCATCCCCGTTTGGTCTCAGGCATACCTATTTCCACTTCAACTGCTGCTGTTTCCTGCGCCCAAAAGGATTGAGCATACTCATCTTGGAAATGTTCTGGCATGTCCTCCCATACATGTTGATGTTTCACTGCCAAAGTCGCTTGTGCTTGCCCGCCTGAGCTGGATGCCGCCTCTGTTGGCGGAGGACATTCAGGAACTGTTCTCTTGCTCCTGATTCTTTTGAAGGGTCTCATTGTTTCTTCATCCACCCCTTGTTCATATTCCATGACATTTGGGACTTCATCAGTCACATCGTCATACTGTCTTACCCCTATGTCATCGGCCAGTTTTGTGAACGTCCATGGCAAATTTGGGGGATTAATCAGTTCTTCCATGCATTCTTCCCTGACAGAAGCCTTTCGGAGTTGTTCTGGGACAGCCTTTATCAGTCTAGAACTCCTAACCAGCCACACTACCGACCCTGGTCTATAGTTCCCTTCTGCCGTTAACCGAGTTTCAAGCGCCAGCACTCGAGCTGGTCCAGTGAAACCACCGGTACGACCGGCACTACCTGGTCCCTTAGTCTGGACACGCCAAACATAAACCAAGTCGCCAGGTGCATAGCTGGTCACCTGATAGGTTCTGGTGTTCTTGGCTCTCTTGATCCTTTCATTGGCTACCCACTCTGAAAAGGCCTGTTCTGCATTTCTCATACGCTCTACGTTTCTCCTATATTCACCATTCCCATTCTCACACAACACTGGGGGGACTTCCAAATGTTCACTTTCAAAAAACCTCCCAGCTGCGTCTGGTGCCCGTCCTAGTGCATGTTGTGCTGGAGAATATCCTCGTACCACCTCTCGTTCGTTCTCCACTCGGATGGCTTCTGACAGTGCCTCGGCCGCTGTGATTTGTGGATCCTCAGCTGCCAGGCGGTACATGACATGTTTCGTGGCTTGTATGGCTCTTTCTACATGACTTGTGTTCCAGTGTGCTTCGGCAGGGATTACGTCAACTTCCACATGAATATTTTCGAAGTATTCGCTAACTTCGTTTGACCTCCAAGATCCTGCCGGGTCCAACCTCACCTTGTCTGGTTTTCCAAACACTGGTTTCCATTGTTCCTGAAAAAAACTCACCAAGTCTTTTGCCTTGACACCTGAGCCCTTGCCTACACTCATGATTTTTCCAATTCTGAACCGACATCCTTCATCTATTAAAAGAGTAAATTGGACCCGCTCACCGGAGTGAGGATGAATCCAATATGCATTGTCAGCTTGCAACACTTTCCACTTTGGTGGCAACGGCTCCAAAGACACCTGTGGCCTTGGGACCCGCCTGGAGCATTCCCGGCACACATCACACCGATATTCCCTGGCCAGTTGCACAATACGAGGATCTGTCTTCCTGGCTTCTAGTGCTCGCACCAGGTGTTCGAGTGGTCCATGTCCTGTGTTTCTGTGTATGGTGGCTATGTCTTTCAGGGCCTTGTCTCTCTCTTCCAGTGTTAAAGGTCCTTCGGGATTATCCCCCTTATTTATCCCCACTAAGCTTAAAGGTTCCCCCTTTTCATGGCCCATCTCACACAGGTTGCACCTCAGCTCACTTCGCGGGTGTGTCACGACGTCACATGAGCATCCTTTCGTTTGCCCCAGAAATTCCTTCGGAACCCCCGTGTGTCCTGTGACCTCCGCTCGGAGGTCCTGACTTCGAATGTCCTCCAGGATGGTCTTGAAAACCCTTCGAGCAAAATCATCAGTGTAGTATGCCGATTCTCTTGTCATACGTCCTTGACATGGCGCATGTGGTCCCCTACACGTGCATGGCAGTGACATGTTATGTGACAGCAGGTCATGTGTGGTGGCGAGTTTCCAACCCTTTTGCAGTGGCATCCGTGTTTTCAAGTCCCTCAAATTAACCCTGCAACCCTTGACCACACAAAACTTTGGGGGATATTTTCCAAAAACCCTTTGTACCATTGGCAGTCTCCATGCATCGTTTGTTTCCGACCACTCCCATGTCACTGGCACTCCATTCTGACAACAGTGCATGTACACTAACAGTCCACCGATGTACTGTCTGATGCAATTGTTTCGTTTCTGTTTCAGTTCCTCTCGCTGTTTCTCCGTTCTCTGGTTGACATTCTGCATCTTTGAGAACGGCCCGCACTCCAAGCTCAGCCACACATGGCATGGTTTTTCCTTTTCGATTTTACTGATTACAGCCCTGACACCTAGACTCGTAGTCATGTCATATCCATTCCAAAAGGACAATCTTTCTGCACTTGAGTCCCGGCCGGTCAGCTGCCTCATTTTTGCTGTGAGCAGGGAGTCTGGTCCACATGCTACTTCGAACAGCGCTGCTCTGCCGTGTGTGACAAGCGATTGGAAAGCATCAGGTACCAGGCGTTCGGCCTGAAAGTCAAACTGCCGGGCTAAATGTACATCCAGAGGCTTTTCCCTGGTCTCCAAGTCCCATGCTTGGCTCATAGGATCCTCTCCTCGAGCTACCATCACTGTGGGTTCGTCATTGTCTCCCAGTCGCTCGAAGAAACTCCGTCCGCGGAACTGTTGATCTTCCGACGGGATTCCTTCTCCTCCTTCAGGCTCTGCACTTCCTTCGCCAACATTCCCACCACTGCAGTCAGCTGGTCCAGTTGAGGACTTGCTGTCATGTTCTGGTCGTTGACCTCCTTGGAACCTTTGGCCTTCGACATCCGTCGGTAGCCCTTCTGGCTTTCCATCGCCACTTTGGCTCTGTCTGCTGGGTCCTGTTGATCCAGCCATGCTGCAAAGCGTTGGAGCTTCGGGCAAGTTGGCCCTTCGCTGGCAGTGGTCTGCACCCACTGACAGTAATCTGGCTCCTGGGCATACACCTCGTGGTACTTCTTGTTGGCATGAAGTCCGAATCCTACCCAGTCCTGAGGGTGAGCTGCACAAGTGCGGTATGCCGCATCCAGAGCCTTCACCTTGAGGACCTCGATGGTCTCGTTGCCAGTCAAATTCGCCGGCAACTGCTCGCGAATGAGGTTCACCAAGCTGGCTTTCTTTCTGGCGGCCTTGTTGATCTCTACCTCCATCAGCCGAAGGGGACTGATTTCTGCCTTCTTTGGGGTCAGGCCATCTGGTCCTTCCAGCTCGGTCACCCTCAGGAGGAGTTGCATCTTGCTCCATTCCTTGGGAGCTGTCTCTCCATGTTGCACTAGCAAGCGTTTCCGAAGACCCGCAGCGTCCAGTTGCACAACAGACGTCATTGCTTTCTCCTAAGACTGCTACTACCAAGGAGTGTGTTTTCTCCGGTGGTGCCTGAGCCAGTGTACCTTCTGCATGACATGTTACTTCATGCTCCGTGTCTTGTGTTTCGTTCTTCGCAAAATCTCTCGTGTCTTGTTGTTCTTTCATGTCATGTCCCCTTGCTAAATTACCCCTTAAGGTGTTACCCTTACTATCCCATTTGGGGGGGTTACCACCGGTCGCGCCTGTCCTGGTAGAGCTCGAAGAGGTTGAAGAATCCAGCTGTGGCACCTTGGCTGTCGTGTCGTCACGGCCTAAGTCACCTAAGTGGCCAGGATGAACCATGTTTCTACCTGTCTTCTCGTTTGTCATCATTTTTCCCATCATCGCATCACCATCACATCCGGTATTACTACCTACTGCTCCCTGGCTACCTTGGTGCTGTTGCTACTCCTCGGCTTTCTGTTTGTTCGCCTGTTTTCCTTCTCCTTGTTGTTTGCTGGCCATCTTCTCCCTTGCTCCGTGGATCTCATTGGGTTCCTTAACCCCAAAAAAAAAACCATCTTCGCACCCAACCCAGCTACTGCACTTGCGGTCCTTTCTACCCTGTGCTGGTTCCAAGGCAGAAAGGTGCTGTCCCTATTCTAGCTGATCAAAAGCTGGCAATGGCTGTTCCATTGTCAGAGCACGGGCCAGAGCATCCTCAGTCAGCGGGAAGACCTGGTGTCCTGCCGCTGTTCGTTCTAGCCTAATCAGCTTCCTAGGGTCTACCGCTCTCAGTACAGCTCGATCAGAGCCAAAATCGATCACGGCTCCCAGTTTCCTCATTGAGTCGATGGAGAGAAGAATAGGTGCTGAGCCCTCATCTAGAGCATGCACCTTCAGGGTACTCATCCTTCCATCCAGTGGCACTTCCAGTTGGGCAGTGCTTGCACATTGGTTACGGCTGCTATTTCCGAAGCCGAAGATGGGACGGTCATTCATGTCCACCTTCTTGACTCCTGCAGTTCCACGGTTCTTCTCATTCAGCTCGCACACCTTGGACAAAGCCACCACTGAGCCTATGGTTCTGGTGGCCCCGCCGTCCAAGATTGCCTTTCCTTGCGCTACCACATCCTGGGTGGACAAAAGTTGTCCAGTGCTCACCTCCCCATGGAAAGCTTCTCTCATCCCCTCGGCCAAGAAGATGAACGGTGCCTCCTCGGCCACATGTGCCCCCGCTGCTGGTCGACTGCGAGGTGCTTCCTTGCAGTCTGCTACTTTGTGAGGTCCCCCGCATCGGAAACACTTCAGGTTGGCATCGGTCTGGCGGAATTGCTTCCACATTTGTCCTTCTTGTCCACCGCGTTGTTGGTTCTTCACTGGGTAGAACTGTCTTGCCATCTTCACGGCATGTTGCTTGGATCTTGCTTCCTTCAAGGTCCTTCTCGCTCCTTGCATCACATTGTAGGCCTCGATGGCTCTCTCTCGTTCTGTGGCAAGGCAGTTGATCTCGTCCACGGTGAAGCCCTCAGCCTCCAGCTCATCTTCGTTCCACTCACCTATCCATGCTGACACCTCTTCGTCTTGCTCTTCTGTCAAGTGGCTGAAAGCTTTTCCCTTTTCCGCATCTCTCCTCCTCAAGTCGGAGTCCGACCAGTGCTTTCTCAGTGCCTCTTCCACGGCCCTCACACTGAAGCTGCCTCTAAGTTCAGCCTGCAACACGTTCCTTTCCATTGTGTCCAAACCGGCATCCATGAACAGATACCAGCCCTGCACATAGTCCGGAAGGATTTCTGGCAAGGCCCCCCTGCCCAACTCACTTGTATCTTCCATTGTGACTCTTCTTGGCAAAGGGTACCATCCACTTTCATAGGACCAACCCCACTCGCCTTGGCTCCAGTCCTGCCAGGCTCCAACCTCTTCTTCCTCATTGGTCTCCCGGGGAGTCTGCATCTCTTCCTCAGGTGCACCACTGCTAGACGCTCCACTCGGCTCCGGGACTATCCCTTGGACTGAGGTGCTCTGGGACCCGGTGACCGTCGTTGGGACTGTCGCCGGGTCTCACGCTGCAGTCGAGCCATGGATTGCTGTGCTCGTGTGTACGCCTCCGCCTTCTTCATGATGTAGTCATGCATGCTCTCTCCCCTCTGTCGCTTCGACCCTTTGAAGTACTTCAGCAACAGCTCTGACATCTCTGGAACCTTGGGGTGTCCTCGCTCTTCTCGCAAAGCTGAAATCAGCACCCGCACTCCATTGCTGTGAGACAGCCAGTTGGCCGGTCGTCCCACCAGAATGCGTCTTGCCGATCCCCGCAGCTCACTGGCACATCTAGGTCCGCATAGGTACCTCTTCTCTCTCACCACCGTCTGCTCATACATCAGACATGCCTCCACGTACTCTTCGAACGTGGACAGGTCTCCTGCCCATATGGGCACCCCATCCTTGTTCTTGGCCAACGTGCTACCTGTCCACTCCGATCGGCTCTGCAGACCGGAGTACATCGCTTCTTCGGGCCCTTGGAGCATTGGGCTCCGCTACCATGCAGGTAGCACCTTCTTCCTTTGGGGTATCAACCCGTTGCTGGCTTACAAGCCGGCGTTTTTCCCTTTCAAGTCTTGGAACCGTAGAAGTTTCCCCTCCACACTCGAAGTCCACTATGATGGCTAAGCAATCAACCCTAGGTCTAATGAGTGCGTCCGAGAGGCTCTATCTCCTTTTGATCCAAAGTACTGCATGATGTCACTAAGTGAGTGCCAAGTCAGTTGGGTGCGAACTTGATAAACCAACAATATATATATATGAGCCATGGTCAATACTCACTATATGGTTGATGGTCATCCCATCCATAATAAGGATCCTTATAATGGTTATTATAAATCCCTATGAACCATTGGATGACTAGCCCCTATTAATGGTTATTAACCATGAGTATTGACCATAGCTCATATGGAAAAATAACCCCCAAAATCATAGAAACGTCAATTCACCCGATTTACCCTCTGGTAAACATAGAAAAAACGATGGAAAGATCCACCATTTTGTAGCTGGGTAAATCCACTATTTCGACTGGGCCATTTTCAATAGCTTTTTCTATGTTTACCAGAGGGTAGTTGATGGGGACTTAGTTCTTAAATTTAATCTTAATGGTTGATACAAATTGATACAGTTCTTTGCAACATTTTGGAACTAAGTTGGTGAACATGTTTTTCTGAAGTCCATTCTTTGATGCTGCAAACTACGGCAGGGCAGGATACGAAAGTTGGGCCAAATTGGCCGCTTCGATCTTTTAAGGATTCCTCGAAGACGGTTTTGTCTGAAAATGAGGTATAACAAAAGGAGGTTTCCTAAAATGAGGTATGGTTTATAATGGAAAATCCATGAAAATCCTATGAAAAACTCAATTTTTAGTGGGTAAATGAACTAACAATTCTATGGTTTATTTCATGGAAAATACAGAGTGAAAATGGATGATATTTTGGGGTAGCCTCATGACTTTGGCTACCAGAAATCTAGGAAATCCAGGGATTTATCACCATTTTCCCCCATGAAACTTGTTGTGTTTGGGGTATGTCCCATGTCGTTTTTTTTTTTCGTTTGGATCCCAATAGACAAGCTAAAAATGGTGATTCAAGCTAGATGTTCAACCCACCCAAAAAAACAGAGATGAAATTCACCTGAACTTATCATGAATTTATGTTCGGATACCAACTTCGATCCTAAGGGGCATCCAATCTAGGAAAATGTCCAGCCCATCAGTCGAACAAAGGACGGTCGATTGCCGTCGCCTCCCAAATTGCCCGGAGCCCCAATCGCCATGGAGGCGTCGCAAAAACGGGGAACGGACACAGCGTTGCAATTTCTTGGCCAAGATCCTTTCGTGACCATCAAATTAGTCCCTTGAACAAAATACAATAGCAATGGGCTAGTCTAATTTTCTTAACCTCTGGCAAAATGTTTGGTCATAGCATGTATATAGCTATACTTTCAAGTCGCGACTTTGTCCACTGACAGCTCTGCTTGGTTTAGTTGTTTTTTTGTGAACACCACATGTTCTGTTGTCTGGTTGTGGAGCCACTCTCATGTGCTGATCTGACTTTTCACAGGTGACTATCCCCAGGGGCCAAAATGCCAAAATCAAGGTGATCGTGACACAAGGCAACAGGCTACCCTCTTGTTATGTCAAAATAGCTATTGAAAATGGCCATTTATAGTGGATTTTCCCATTAAACATGGTGATTTTCCATAGTTATGTTAGTTTACCAGAGGGTAACCAATATGACTGGTAGATTTCAAGGGTGATTCAATCAGAGATGTGATTCTTCCATGCAGCTACTGCAACATTTAGAAACACATGGACCGTTTTCTCCAGAGACGAATCTTCAGATTGTTTTTCAATGATTCCCCAAACAGTGTGTCCATGCTGAGGGGTTCTTACATGATCTTCCTCCTTCTCAACATCATCATCCTGCACCTTGTCCTCCTGCACTTCATTCCGCATTATCATCCTCATCCTCATCCTCCTCAACATCATCATCATCATCACCCTCATCCTCCTCAGCATCATCATCCTCCACATTATCCTCCTGCACTTCATCCTCCTCAACATCAACATCATCATCATCATCATCAACAACAACAACAACATTATCATACATTGTTCGCCCACCCCCCCACACTGTTTGGGGTCTCAACCGCCGGGATATGTTTTGGATATCGAATCTCTCACCCAGGCTTTGGCCCACGGCAACTCGCCCACGGCAACTCGCCCACGGCGCTGATGATATGTTTATCATGATGAATCCTCAAATTTTGGGGCATAGTTCGATAAACCTCCATTGAATTCTGGGATTTGAGCCATTCAATTGCCTGGTTCTGTGACATGAACACAACATGGAAGATTTCAACATATATAAATCAGTATAACCATGGTAAATAACCATAGTATAACCATAATATATATATATATATAACCATGGAATATGTCAAAAAAGAGTTTCACCTTCACCGACCAGCGATCTGGGGCCATCCACGAAAGCCTTGACTTTCTCAAGCCCGGCGTCAGCGCCTGGCCAACAAATGATGGGGATTATGGCACCAAAAATGGGGATACAACAATGGGATAAAATCCAATTAGATCAAGATATAACTAGTATAACTAGTACATTATATATATATATAGACAAAATATTATATATATATATACTATGGTTATATTGTAATTTACCATCCCCACAACAGCTTCCCTGAGTGTCTTCTAAGATCAGCGAGTCGGAGTGTCGAGCTGTTCGCCATGGTTTTTCGATGGTCCATAGAAATAGATGGTTTACCGTTCTTAATAGCATGGTTTACCTATCCAATTAAGGTTGATTAAGTCATCCAATTTTCCCTTGAAATGGAACTTAGAGGAAAATATATATACCATCTGGTTATGACTAACATAGCCATGGAAAATCCATAATAAATGGAGGTTTCCCAGCATCTATGTCTATGGGCCATTTATTTTCCATGGCTATGTTAAACAACCAAACAATATACATATATATATAGCCAACATTATACAACTCATATCATATATAACCAACATATATATATAATCATAAAAATTGAAACATATATATATTGGAATATTCAATGGAACTTGGCTAATATAATATTGAAATATATAGCCAACATTATATATGATAGCCAACTTAGAGGGCCCCCCACACCAATCAGTAGCCAACATTATATATATATATTATACTATACATAGAGAGAGAGAGAGAGACCATAACTTTCTCCCCCATTGAATCACACAAAAGAGGTTTCTAAGATCAGGTCGAAAAAAAGGTCCTCTCCCTGGTCTTCCTCGCCGAGGTCTTCACTTTGTCACAGCAGAGGTCTGAAAAATCTTAGTGATGGTTTCATGCTTCTGAAAGCCATCATCATGTGCGAAAATCAGGCAAAAAGTGACGAAAACTCTGCGTTTTCAACACATCCCCTCTGGATGAACAACGATCATTTCGTATCTTTCCCATTGGAAAAGTCAACTTCATCACCTCAAAGAAATTCATGGTGAATCCGGTGAGAAAACAACAAAAAATATCCCTATCCTGTGTGGTTGTCCCCTTCATATCCGGCGAAGAAATCCCTATTTTCATATCGCATTCTCCAGATTGTTTGCATTAAACATCATTAAACCATATCAATGGCCATTAATGTCATCCCATTTTTTTCTATCCTACCTCCTACAGGTGGAAAATTCCATTCGCTCCAAAATCACAGCCGCCGCCTCGCAATGCAGCAGTGGCCACCACAATGGCAGACATGGTGGAGGCGGTTCCCTGCAGAGAATGGTTGATGTGTGTATATATATATACATAATATGTATATGTATATATATATATATATAATATTGGTTAGTTGTACATACATATGTATTCTATAAGTATATATATATAATTATATATAATATTATGTAAATGCAGTGGAGTTGGAATTGCACTATTTTCGTTGATAATTTAATCTCCAAAATTCTCCAAATTTCAACATGTTCTAGCCATGTTGGGATGTGATTGATTTTCCCCCAGTCGAGTCAGAGATGGCAAACTCGTCCAACTGAAGCTGACAAGTTGTCTTCGTATCCATGGTTAGCAACTCGGATAATTTTACAAACAATGAGGACTACTTAGTGAACATACATGACTCATTATAATTCCGATTTCCCTAGATTTCACTAGTGTATAGTATACATACATGACATATCATGACATCTACAATAGAATAGGGCTACAACATGCTACAAACTTACAACTGGGGGCACCTTGAGAACGGCTATTGGGATGATCTTCGAGTTGTTGGATGTTGGATGACAAGCCACTAGTATTTTTTTTAACATGGGATGTAACTGGGGTCAATGTCTCATTGAACCGGATTTTGTTGCCATCTGTCATATTTCTTGGAGCCCATTGTTGCTCAGTGTTCATCCGAAACTGTGGATGGAACGCTGGTCAGAAAATGCTCAGTTTCACCGCAATGTTCGCATTGGGTCCAGACTTCTTGTAAAAAAAAGTAGGTTCAGTGGTGCCTCCCCCAGTTACGCGTTGGTTTTTGAAGAGTAATCTAACCGTTACACCATTCGATACCTACTGAACTGAGACACTTTCGATGATTTTCGCAATGTTACACTTTCCGAGGCAGTTAAATCATCCCAAACAGTTTGGGACTTACCCTCTGGTAAACTTTCACATAACTATGGAACATATCAATTTTCAATGGGACAATCCACTATTTCTATGGTAATTTTCAATAGCTATGTATAGCTATGTAACAAATTACCAGAGGGTATCCCGTAATAAAATGGATTAATTAATGTCATTATCATCCCGTGAAATATCTCATCAATGTCCCATTTGACCCATGGATTTTTGCGTGCTATGTGACACTTTCCGAGGCAGTTAATCAGTTAAATCCCATCAATGTCCCATCTTTAATGGGAAAATCAACTATTTCGACTGGGTCATTTTCAATAGCTATTTTGTATGTTACCAGAGGGTAAAATCCAATTTGTTTCATGCCAAAAAAAGTCCGGTGATTCGTTTCCGCTTCTGCACCAGGCCTTGGATCCAGGCCTTGGCGCGGATCGACCAACGACAGACGTCGCTCGGCTGGGAGACTGAAATGGGTAGCAACAAACGACTGGGGGTTTATAATGATGTTACTATATACCCTCTGGTTATGACGAACATAGCTATGGTATAGATGGTCCATCGAAATAGATGGTTTACCATGGTTTACCTATTAAAAATGGTGGATCTGTCCATGGCTATGTTAAATAACCAGAAGGTATATATAATATAATGATTCTGATATAGTTGATCTTAATATTTTAGAAATTGCTACGGTATGTCGAACCTGGGAACATTCTGTCAGCATGTTATATTCATCGTCAAACCATGCTTAGATGCAGTCTGGCAGCACATAAGGTGCATCGTGAAAAGGTGAATGGCTATCAAAGCCACAAACGCATTCAAGACTCCGTGGTGGCAGTCATGACCGAAGGAAAATGAAAAGGGAAACACAGGGTAACTACAAGAAGGCGACAAATAATTGGAATTCAGTTGAAATAAGACAATTCAGCGCAAAAATCACCTCCGCAAGGAAGAACTTCAGGTTGCGTTCGTGAACACTTCCGGAACGACAAGAAAAACCCTGTAAATCACAGTGAACACTACCCTCTTGTAATTTGGTACATAGCTATTGAAAATGGCCATAGAAACAGTGGATTTACCCAGCTACAAAATAGTGGATCTTTCCATAGTTTTTTGTATGTTTACCGAGGGTATATCCCTATTTGTTTGATGAACAAAGCCCATATTCAAAGTAAGATATGGAACCATGATAAACCAGTTCAATTGTTTTCGCATATATTGACCATACACATCGATCCTATTTAATCCCATCCCAGCGATTTTGATATTAGCCTTCAAAGGCAACATAGCATCGGGCAACCTCCAGCCTTCAGCGTGTGTATATCTATATATATATATATATCTGGTTGGTGGTATACCTACCCCTCTGAAAAATATGAGTTCGTCAATGGGAAGGATTATGCCATATATTATGGAAAATTAAAAATGTTCCAAACCACCAACCAGGTATATATATATATATATCCTATCTGTTTGAATCTCCCAATATTTGGAGAATCCAATTGGAATACAACATCAAACATATTAAAGATCATATTAAATCCGCAAAACAACACAAATACACAACATATTTTAAGTCGCACCCTAGCTGATTGTATACTTAGGTTGTTTAGATGGGCCATGGCCGGTCAAAGCAGAGATTAACAATTATCCGTGATATTATTC